AATTTATGCACTTTAATTTCTGTAGTTTCTTGTCGGACGCTTATGTGTCTCATCAAATTAATAACAACAGAAAAAATAACGAACCATTTCACATGTCGCACAATATATCAACTGCCACTATATTTTCAAGGATAGCAAACAAGCATCAGAAACGAAAAAAGATAATTTTATAGCAAAAGAAAAAGAATTACTATATAGATATATACGTAAACTATATTGTAACATTGAAAAGAAACAGTGGCATTGGTAAAACGACAGTTGTAGTACTATTGGAGTACTACTGTTATTGTTTACTTGCCTAGCTGGCATTTGGTAGACAAGAATGGTATAGGAACAAAAATATATCACAAGAAAGGACATATCTGTTTACCATGTATATATACATTTGTGTATTACTATTTTCGATGTTTTTGTTAATTTACTTTTGTAATTTTGGTTTGATAACAAAACATGTAACAGTCTCATTTTATATGATCCCTATTTGCTGATCACGATGATCGAACAATCTCAAAAAGGAGTCGAAAACTTCAAAACATGTGTTGCTAAATGTAAAAAGTTTATATTCAGTTATTTCGAAAATTGTTTTTCTTCTTCTTTATTTGATCACACTTTGCACTACGTCATTCGTCTGACTTAACGAAACTCTCAAGAATGATTGGTATGATTCTACAGCAAACTTTCTTCAGAATTCAATTTTATTATTAGAAATATTGATCATGCAAAGAGTATTCGAGATAAAAAAATGGGTTTGAAATCGATTATAATACAACTATAACTCTTCTAGCTTTTACATTGATACATGTCTGAGGGATATACATTAGAAACTGTGCCAAACTAACAGCTAAGGGCGTTTATTGCTCTAAAAGCAGACTAATGATGATTCTAATAGTAAAAACAAACAAACAAACAAAATGATAAAAAGCTACTGAAGAAAAGAATACGAGAAAAAATATTTCTTTTTTTGTAACCTGCGTCAAATTCCCCATAAACATATATTCGCATATGGGGACTTAGCAATGATAAAATAGTGAGTGATTTCTCTGCTTACGAAACTAAGCCGGGAAATACACGTTCACCATAATTCCACAAAACGACACACGTACCAGTAAATAGGATCTTAACTTTTTAGCAGCTAAGCAACTGTAGTTTTCCGATTAGGATTTTTAATTAAAAATGTCAAGGCAATGTTTGGACCGGGTTTGGCTTAATATGTGAGTTAAATAAATGTTAATCATTGATTGATGTGTTTCTCTGCAAATGATTTTCCAACGAACACCTGATTATATGTTTTTGTTTCAAAATAGTTAATATTTTAGATTCTTCTACAGATATCTTTTATTTAACAACTATTAATATCAACAGTAAATTCAAAGACCTTTGACCATGGATTCCTATACGCTGTATAACGACAATGATTATATTGAAATGCAGACTTAAAGTTCAATTTCGTTTTTTTTTATTATATTACACTTAAAATTCTACTCGTTTTACAGCAAGGGTACGCCAACAGCGTATTTATGAATAGAGTTATGTACTGTTTATTTTTAAAGAGTCAACATTAACATGGACAGTTTAGTGTAACTTTTCGTAATTTCCACTTTGATATTTATGTATATATACATGTATATGAATTGACTATTCTACTCTATACATTTGTGTAACAGTAATTTTTAAATTCGAGCTTCAAGCTTGTATCTTCCAATTCTTTTCAATTAATTCTATTAACTGTTGAACGATAGGGGATTTCAATTGAAGTGCGCATTTTACACAGGCAAATGGAAATTAACTTTTCTCATTAGCTTATTAAACTTACCAGGTCATTATTGTATATGCATGAAAAGCTCCCATTTTGTGTCACCAATTAATGGAACTATCTTTTAATTACTAAATAGGAAATAATGAAAACATTTCTGTAGTTGTTTTCAACGAGGTAATTCGATGTTTAGATGAAAAACATCGTGTAATAGAATAAGCGTAGAGCTCAGCTCAAGCTATCGTCTCTCACAACACGCAGCATTTTCTATAATATGAATTATCTCAAACTTAGTTCTCCGAAATAAAGATGAAATAGAAGTTCTGTCACTGTGACTACGAGAAATGCAAATATCTATAATAAGAAAATAGAATATAAAAATGGAGACGACATATGCAACTTTGGCGTAATTTGGATCTACCAATCAGTTTATTTTATGGTTAAGCTACATTCCAATTCGGTACACGAAGCGAACACACAGAAAACTCGTTTGTTGGTACATTCTGACTCATAGTTACGAGTAGCACTATAAGTTGGTGTTTGTTGTCGATAATTAAATATCTAGTCTGCGATTCTAATAGAAATCTAAAACAAAGTATTGTCGAGTCTCCTAGGTATGGATTGTTGCATTTAAATTCATATAAAAGAAAAGAATAATATCGGCTATATTATAGATAAGTTAGAAAAAGAAACAAAACAAAAATCGTGGAGTTCTAATTTTCCATAGAATGAAAAGCAAAATGTAAAGCAGAGTGTCATTTCGATAGAGCAAGGGTCATGGATCCTTTGTTATCATTGCGGACCCATTGCTGTTAGAAACGCAGTATCTAGTGCCATAATATTCTGTTGTTTTGTATCATTTATTAGCTATATAACATACTTTCTTTTTCCTTAAATATTGCCAGAAATTCGGTATGAGTATAGCCCATAGTTTAGATTATATTTGTTCATGTACTTAATTTTTTCATATTTGAACTGTTTTATCAAAATCAGTTATCACTTGAATATTGATCATGCCTTGAAAATCACAAGGAACTAATACTAATTAGCTAACAATCGATCATTTTATTATCGTACTATAGGTGTGATTTGTTATAAACCGTTAGTATTGTTTTCAAATAAAATATTTCATGAGTAAATTGAGGGTTGAGAGGCTAAGAAGCTTTCTCCGTTTCAATGAATATATGGAAGTAGCAGGTATACAACAAACTATGACTTGCGTATGATCGTTCGCCTTGATCCTTAATATTTTTGTGAACGACTATTGCTATTAGACGTGTATGAAAGCAAGTTTTTTCAATACAAGTTCTATTTCTCGTGACGTTATGTCTGTCTTGATGTAGAGAACATTGTTGTAAAACGCTTATTGATATCACGTCTAAAAGAATCCGCCGCTATTCACTTTTGTCCGATTCTTTAGTTAACGATAGAGATATGCGAGATCCAGATTATTCTAGTCACAGTAAAAGATATTTTCAATTTCTAGTTCCCTATTGAAAATATTGAAACTTCAAGAGAAATATAAAAATTAAGTTATACAACGCAAGAACATTGATTTTGAAAGACGTTTTGCTCATACATATAGAATTATCGTTTACATTTTTCTAGTATCTTGTATCAAACATTTTCAGACCTAGATATTCCTATAAAGATACGTTGCTTCTACCGGTCGGTAAATGTTGATTGTTTATGTGATCTTATAAAGCAACAGTTTAAGAGCAATTTTCATTGAATTTCAATTTTTGCAAGAGAAACATTCATTAAAAGTAATTTTATCGTGCGTCGGGGCAATTCTGTTTGTGATATTTTCAGAGATTCACACTGATATTCCAAAAAAATAGCAAATATCTCAAGGTTCACCAGGATAAATTGTATGATGAAATAGATTCATTTAGCAAATTCTTTATTGAAAGGCACATGTGTACAGTGCATTGTTCATTTGATTAAATGTATCATATTTTGATTTCATATTAAGTTTCATTTATTTTAATTTTTGAAATTTAATCTAATAAAATTGAGTATAAATTGCTGCATTAAAAATCTCCGTAATGAAGTCAATTTTTCGGAAAAAGATGTACTCATAAGCAATAACGCAATTCAATTGTTTCCGTTTTCTTTTGCAATGATATATATTCGATATCTAAAATTGTGGCATTGTGACGATTGAGAAAACATATGCATCATATAGCAAAGTACTAAAAGTATGTCTGTAGTCTCTTAAATACGTATGCTAATCTTGTTTTCATAGACTTTTGGATGCAAATACTAAGCTTAAAAATGAATGATTTACTGTTTTTGTTTGTGATGATTTTCGGCGTGTGCTTTCAATCAGTTCAAACTGCTTCTGTTTGTTATACGAATATTTATAAACGACATCTAGATTTCAAGCAAAATATATTTTCTCTGGTATAATTTGAAGATAAGCAACTATCTGTTTGTACAGTCTACTGTTTTATGCGAGTTTTCACTAAGCATAAAACATTCAATTCATGACATATGTAAAATCATAACTTTGAATAAGTATTTTGTTTTGATTTATTAAATTCTCAAAAAAGATAATTTGAATTGATAAATTTCATGTTTTGAGAAACACTCATCTCGGCACTAGTGTCTAGAAGAGCCAACATGGTCGAATGAACTACCACTCTGACTAGTATATATTGAATTAATGTAACCTCACGGAAAATTTCTTAAAAAAGAAAAGTCACTCGATAGATAAAGATTTCGTAATATTATGAAGTAACCATACGGTCGAATTGTGCACGTGTACTGATAACTTTCATTATTGCAAAGCTCTTGTTTAAAGATATGAAATATAAGACTTTTATGCACTTTAATTTCCGTGGTTTCTTGACAGATGTTGATAGGTCTCGTCAAATTAACAACAACAGAAGAAATAACAAATCATTTCATATATTGTGCTCTATATCAACTGTCACCATGTTTCCAAGGATAAAAAAGCCATTAGAAACGAAAAAAGATAAGTTTGTAGCAAAAAAAAAGAATTACTACAAATATATATTACATTGTATGACTATAAAAAAAGACAGTCGCATTTGTAAAACGCCACTTGTAGTACTATTGGAGTACTACTGTTTTTGTTTACTTGTCTAGATGGCATTTGGTAGATAAGAATGGTATATGGACAAAAATATATCACAAGAAAGGACATATCTGCTTACCATATATATATATAGTGCACATTAATATAAAGTTTCTATTTTGTACTATTCGTTTGCAGTCTATTATGTATAATAGGGGCCTATTTATAACTATTGCATTTGTTTTCACCTGTAGAATTTCTGGCGAAAAACATGAATTAATATACAATAAGGACATTGTTTATTACGATGAATGTCGTATCTCAATTTCGCCACGTAATCATCTCCAACCGGTCAATGCGTATGTTCAAATACAAAAACCATGTAATGGCACATTATTATGGACCTATCCTAAGTTGCATTTAAAACTAACAGTGGTAAATCTAGAAAATGAACCATTTACGCTATGCTTCGAACAAAAGTCTATTGAACAAAAACTTATTCGTTCAATACAAAGTATCAATTTAGATACGAATCAAACATCTGATATGCGTGAAGAACAGAGCAGTTCAGGTTTAGTTTTATGTACGACAAGTGTAGGAACTCGTTTAGCAGTAATCATTGAAGCTCAACCACTTTATGCTGGTGTTTATTTGCCATATGCTATGTTTAGTCAAAGTCATCCTTGGACAGCTGGTCCGTATCCTAGTTGGCAAAGATCGGAAAAATATTTATATGGTCCAAATGAACTTACACCACAGAAGAAAAAGAAACTACGACGTACTCGAAAGAAAATCATTGAATAGTTAAAACAAACGAAAAGAAATTATCTGCTTGAAAATTTTCATCCTTGCATTTTCCTCCTTTTTTTCTCTCTCTTTCTCTCTATGTTGTAGCGTTGATTTATATAACAGAAATAAATTTTAAGATCATCAAATCTACGAACATGAATCGAATACCTTGCAGGAGTAAATTGGCATGTTCTGTAGAGTGCTCTTCTTTGTAATTTTAATCGTTTAATATACATTTCAATTAATGTTTTTCTTTGTTTTAATAATTGCAGAGGTTTTCTAAATGGAGAATATTGCTTTGAACTATTCTTTTTTTGGCGGTAGAGTTTCGGCCTTTTATTCCTGATTTTATGCTTATAAATTTAACAAAAAGAAAATCATTTCCCACAAATCTGGATAGCCGCGAGAAGACATCCCTGGATAATTATCTAAAGCCGAAGAAGCTTAGAGTTAACAGCCGATGTTTGTTCTATAGAATGATTCTTTCCCGAGACTTTCTGGCTCTTTCTGCATCATTTGCGATCGAAGATTGTTAGCAATTGCTAAATATCATCTCTGCATATACTACCGCCATCATATGTTAGAATCATCATTTGTCAAAATGTTATCATATAAAAAGTTGATTTGAACGAAATAAAAAAAAGATATCTTAATCTTAATATATGACCTATATTTTATAAATGAAATTTGAAGCAGCCTACTTTTGTCATTCCTCATTTTTAATTATACACACGCGGATCTTCTAGATTTGGCAAATAAAACTGCTTTCTATCAAATAGGAAATCCATTAAAATATATATACACGTAATTGCATGGTTTTAATATTCACGCGTCCTTTCATGTCATAATTACGTTTCTAGAGCAATCGACTAGATGTGAAAGAGTGCGCATTCTTTTTGCAATCATGAACTTTTAGCTTTATTCAGTATCAATATAATCAAACTTCCGTTCTATTTATATGTAATATTCGAGACCTATTTTAGACATTTCGTTTTCAGGCACCTATTCAGTATCATCACTCGTGTTTGTTAATGGATTTTTATATTTTAAATAAATATAATAATCTGATAAAAAAAGCAACATCATTTTTTTTCTTCTTCTCGAGTAAAATTAGATAACTTACAAGCGAAACAAAAGAAAAAGAAGATATTTTTAACTTTACTGATGCCTTCAGGACGAAAACGTCAGTGCGCATCAATTGTTGCACTTATTTTTGCATTTACTTTCGTTATAATTGGTATCGTCGGTATTGTTGTCGGACCTAAGATACTACAAAATCAAATCATTAGCCAATTGCCATTAAAAGTTGGCTCCGATCAACTCGATTCATGGAAAACTCCACCTGTCCCAGTTTATTTACAATTTTGGTTATGGGAATGTGTCAATGTCATGGATGTCACTCAAGGAACAAAACCATTCATTGTTCAACGTGGTCCATTTACTTATTTAGAAAATCGAAATAAAACGGGAGTATATTTTAATGAAAATAATACGGTTACATATCGTCAACCAATATCATATACATTTCTACGTAATATGTCAGCTGCAGATGAATTTGCGCAAATTACAATGATCAATGCACCAATTGTGACTATAGTTTCGCTTGTTCGTAATCAATCGAATATAACACAAGAAATATTTAATTTTTTTAAAAACGTTTTTAATGAGTCCTTATTTGTTAAACATACAGTACGCGAGTGGATATGGGGCTATGAAGATCCGTTACTTAAAGCAGCCAAATCAATACCAATTTTGAGTGATTTAATACCTGATGATCATTTTGGATATTTCTATGGACAAAATGCAACTGACGATGGATTATATACAGTATTTACAGGTAGATTATAATCATACAAATGATTATTCGTTATGATTTATTTTTCTTATATGTAGGTGCAAGCAATATTAATCTATTAAATAATATTGATAAATGGAATGGTAAGTTACGAATTCTCTATATTAAATTAGAAATAACAAAATCTTGACACAGTTAATATAATATCGATAATGCGTATAAAAACGATCAGAAACTCTGACATTTTGAATTGTCTAGAATCATCTTTATTGAGCTATAAATATTTTCTCATTACTTTTGTTAAAATTCAAAACACGTTTCAACTTAAATATTTTAGTATTTTTCACACTCAACTTGTGAACTATCGACATACACATGCAATTTCTAACATTTGATTGTTTTTTACAAATGCTAATTTTGAGTAATAAATAATATAATTGACTGCGAATTTAAATAGAAATAGTTAATATCATCGATTGTGCGAGACGAATATTTTATTTGATATAGAATATAGTTTACAGATATTTTCGTACAAATTACGTATGAATAAATATCTTTACAGGTGTTTCTTATCTACCTTATTGGAGAACTCTACACGGCAATCAAATCAATGGCACTGATGGCTCATGGTTTCCTCCATTAATAAATCAAGATTTTCAATCTAAACGTTTATATTTATTTTCAACTGATGTATGTCGATCACTCTATGCTAAATTTGAACGTCATTCGTCAGTATTGAAAATTCCAACAGAAATATTTTCTATTCCATCTGAAGTCTTTCTTAATGCTACACTTAATCCAGATAATGCTCCTTTTGGTAGCTATGATTCTGGTGTTCTTGATGTTAGTGCATGTCGACAAGGTGCACCAATATTTATTTCATTACCACATCTTCTTTATGGAGCTGATCAATATGTGAACGCTGTCGATGGTATTGCACCGGATCCAAGTCTTCATCGAACAATTTTCGAAGTAGAGCCACATACAGGTCTTGTATTAAGTGCACAGAAACGTTTACAAATAAATGTACAAATAAAACCCGATCCCTTGATTGACGATCTTAAACATATATCCGAGACAATTTTACCAGCTATCTGGATAAACGAATCAACAACCATCGATCAAAAATCTGCTAATGATTTAAATAATAAAGTTTTACGCTTCTTTACTATTGTTCGTTGGGTATCAATCTTATTGATTCCCGTTGGTGTACTGATATTTGTTGCGACAATTGTAATTGTTGCGAAACGACGTTCCCGCGGTACATTCACGCCGATAATCAATGCAAGATCAAGTAATTCTGTTGAAGTAGATGATGACTAGTGAGCTTTTATTTCTGGTCTTTTTATATTTTTGAATATCTTTTCGACTAAAATAAATTTGTGAAATCATTTTTCTACGTAATTGCATGTGTGAATCAGTCAGATAAACACTGATAAGTGCCGCTGATGAAAGAAAAGCGACTTCAAGAAGCATAACACATGAGCAGAAAATTTAATCCTTACAAAAGTTTCTATTAGAATTATGAATTTGAGATGTCTGATATAATGCAATATGCTGCGTATTTCTTCATAGAGTAAAGTTGTATGAATTCGTCATTGACTCAAAAATTTCTGTCTATGCCAATAGAATTGTTAGTATCATGATAAAAATTATTTATAAGTCCCACAGGATTACATGTTAAGAGAGGTATTCGTTTGATATCACTAATGATATTTAAATTTTGACAATAATATAAGACAAACCATTTCTACTATGCTGACAAAAATGTGTTACATAAAGTATTAATATAGTCCGTGGCTACTTTGATGTAGAATATTCTTTACATACGAATACAATCGTAGCTTATTGGTGTCTATTACAAGCCACCATATTATTTAAAATAATATTCCTTGAAATTGATCCGACGTTTTCTTTTTCAACGTAGTCTCAAATATACGACAACAACATATTTCATAATCAATAATCATTCTCATTGAATATCATGATCTCTATACATTGAAATACGAAATGTCTACCGGATCGCATTTCCTCAAAACTACACGATGAATAATACCGGCGTGTTATAACGAATTTATACGGTATAAAAATGTGCCGATTGTGATCATGTTACATGTTTAATCTGGGGATATTTTTAAAAACACAACAAGAAGTCTCAACTAAATATTTTCTTTTAAAATAAAGAATAAACTAATAAACCTAAATTTGACACAAATTAGTGTTCTTGAATTCATATATTTTTTTCCATGAAACAAAACAAAACAATTACAACAACATTCTTCTTTTTGAACACTGTATTTTCATTTGTACAAGAGAATAAGACGAAAAAGAAAACACAAGAAAAAAAAGAACGAAAAACAAAAAAAGAAGATTTTTCATGATAATAAAAAGAACAGAAAAATTCAGATAATTAGTTGTTGCATATGTTTTTGTGTTAAAGCTCAAATTAATGCCGCTGATGTACGCTCAGAGAGTTGTAAACACATATTTGACTAGATGCGCAAAAGAAGAAGAAGAAGAAGAAAACAGAGAGGAGCCAAAGATATTCAAATGAACGGACAACAAAAATAGAGCACCAACATCATACAAACACACACGAATATATCCTCAAGGTTTTATTTAATATACAAAATGATCATCTGCCTATTTTCTGAGCATTCTCTAGAAAGTTTTCTAAGTTTGAGATTCGATGCCAATCAATTTTGAGTAGCAGAATATTTACCTATACTTCGGCGCCATGCTGCTAAAACAGAAAGCAAAACAAAAACTTAGTAAAGTGACTACAAAAAAAGCAAATCAATTTATGAAAAAAAGCAACGACAATTGACAGCATTAGTATAAATTATTATTATATGTTATCTTTGTACACATACTTCGTCGTCTAGCAACTCAATTTTATTAGCTTTTGATTTCTTTTTTGACTAAATAAAATTTTATTGATTTATTATTTATTATTTTTTTCTTTCTGCATACCTTTTTCGACGAATGACCATTTTTATAATCAGGCTGATCTGAATTTTCACCAGTACTTGCTTTCATCATTGGTGTCGTTTGATTATCTCTAGAAAAAATAAAGCAAAAAATAATTCAGTTAAATTTATCGTAATTATGATTGAACTCATATGATAAAGCGATCGCCTTGTTGACGAGCAAAGCAAAGGGGAAAATATCAACACATTTGGTTAGACTTTTACCATAAATACGTATATGACTTATAATATTGAGGAACTAGATAAAAATAAAAGTTATTGATTAACCCGTTTAGTTATTATTGTTTTATGTTTTTCACCGACAAAATAAAAGCATGCAGTTAGATACACATCACATATTGTGTCAAAAATATAGAGCATGAAACCTACTGTTTAGCTTTTTTCTTTGTAGTACTATAAAAATTATTTATTTCAGTATGTTTTTTTTTCCAATCCTTAAAAACGTGTATGTATGAATGAAATTAACTTACGAATCAGTTGTTTTGTGTTTTCCACTTAATCGATGAACACGTAATAAAACGCAAGCAGCAACGAATACAACGGCAAAAAGGATAATACCAAATATGATGCCAAGAATAACCCATTTGCTTGGTTGATTTCTTCGGTAATTTGTTATCAAAGGACTCATTCCTGAAGATTTACTATCTGGAAAAATAAACTATTGGTTAAAATATCATTTGAAGAGAAAAAAAAACACATGAAAGTACCTCTTTCACTTAATGTTGTTATTCGAAGTTTTTGTTCGGCAGCACCTGCGTCATTATATAATTTAACAATGACAATATAATTAGTTGATGGTTTCAATTGCGCGATTTCATATTCCGATGCTGATGCATCGATTGATATTGGTATACTGAATGCTCCTTCAGCTTCGAAACTACTATCAGCTTTAGCCTACAAGACAAATAGATGAATATAAATAAATATTTAGCTTTCGATATTACTTTAGCATATAAAACTTCCGAACGAACAATAGGTGCACCACCATCAGATTCAATAATCCATTTAATTAGACAAGTTCGATCATTGGAGCATGTTTCATTTTTATTTTCATCATTTTTAACGATTCTAAAATCTGGTACTTGCCTATCCAGTGTTCGAAATGGTACGGGTCCTGTTTGTTGGCCAGCCCCAGCTCGAGATTTAGCAACAAGTGTAAAACGATAACTAGTACTTGGTTTAATTTTTTCTATTTTTAATACTTGTGTTTGTTGTTGATCGTCAGGTGGTGATTGAGCTATAATCGCAAAACAAAAATACTTTTATCTTTTTTTTATCAGTTAAGAAGATAAAATTCATAGAACTATCTGTTAAATATAATACGCCAATACACAACATGCTGCCCATATCTAGCAACATACATGTCATGCCTGTCAGGAGACGCATAGTACACTCGCTCTATTGATATATGTTTGTTTGTTTTCAATTATATCCTGACAGTTTCTTTTTGTTTTTCTTATCTATGATGGAGACCATGAAAATTTCCATATAAAACTGTTGTTTACAGATTAAAATGAGTCTCATGGTCATATCAAAATCGTTAACATCCGTTAAAGATTCAATCAATACTTATAAATACCTGGAATAGTTAATGTTTCTTGTTGATCATCTGCTTTATCAGTAGCACTATATTTAACAGTATATTCAATCAATGGTAAGCCACCACTTTCAGGTGGTTGAATGATAATATCAACGCCATTTGTTAAAGGTTTAATTTCGACAATGCGAACTTTTTGTGGTGGTTCAGCACGTTGAAGTGTAAATGAATGTCGACCAATACGTGGATTAATTGCACGACACTCAAAACTTAAGCCAAAATCACGTTCCGATGGTGTATACTAGAGAATATTTTTTTTTAATTTCAATTAAAAGCGTTCAAATAAAACTTTTCTTTTGCTACTTACGGAAAGAATACTTTCGAATAGTGTTGATCCAAGTTGTTTAGTTGTTATATCATTGACACCATTATCAATATCAACATCAAGTAATCGTCCTTCAGGATCTTGTACAGTTCGACTCATTTTAATCCATCGTATTTGTGGTGGTGGATAAGATTCGAATTGACAACGCATAACTACTCGATAATTTGGTATTGTTGAAACGACTTGAATATTGGGTCCAACAAAAACAGGTTGAACTGAAAAGTAAACATCATAAAATGAATTCTGTAAAAAATAAAATTCTACGACTTACATCGAATATAAAGGCTGGCAATTGAATAAGAACTATCAGCAAGATTCTTTGCTAAACATGAATAGTTTCCAAAATGTTCTCGTTGTACAGGATCAAAAAGTAATTCAATCACTTTATCGCTTTCTAAACGTGTTCTATCGATGTGAACTCCATTTGCTGATTGAATTGCTGTGCTATTTAAAAATTGCCATTCTAACGAAAGACTTTCCGCCGAACCACGTTCAACTCGACACATGAACGAAACACGTTGTGGATGATGTTCATCAAGATCTATTTCAGTAGGTTCTATTGTTGATAGACGTGGCGGAACTAAATAAGCAAATTACATATGTAATCCATTGTTTATAAGTAAATTAGATGAGATACGCTAATGAATTTAGCTTCGTAGAATTATGCATCGATTTTAGTCTTTATATGTGATGACATGTTACATATTGATAAAGCTGGACATTCTAATGTCTTTCACGTTTTACTGCAGCTTGCAATACATTATCAACATACTAACTAAAGTAACGTTAGAGAAGGTCACTCTGCTAGTAATTATTATATCATAGTGAACATACTGAGTTCAAGGTGGGCGTGCAGCTGGGTCAGTTATCAGCAGGATACTTTGCTACTATTATATCATCATATATTATTTCCGAATTTTCTTGAGGACCACCTACCTAACTACCGGAATACTTATCCAATATCGGTCATATATCTTTATTAATAGACTGAATGTTTAGCAGGAAGGAAAAATCGGCCAAAAAAAGTACTCTAAAGTTTCCCAGGCATGCTGATAAGACTTTATTATGAACTCAATATATTCACTAAGGACATAAATAAATTTTTATGAGTCATGCAATTATTTATATAGAAACTTAAGTAGTTTATTCTTTATAGACATACCAATAACATTTAAATTGTATTCAGCACGTTGACCTCTGTTATCATATTCATTATAAGCTTGGCATGAATATTTTCCATTATCAGTTTCATCGACATAATTTATTGTTAATTGATTACCGCGTACGACAAATTTTGGTACTTCACTTGCGCCAACGGGTGAATCCTAAATTTTCAAATATTACAGTGAAATCTTTTTCGTATTTATTTTCTTGAAGAAATAAAATCCAAGGAAATATCTACTGTCACACACGTTGGGGGGCGGGATGAAAACACACATACAAACGTGCATTGAACCAATCAGAAAAAACACACAAAATATCTAAAGAAAGTATCATGCTGAGGGAATAACCTTTTGTTGTAGTTGATTGACATATGTCCGCCCCCTTTCTTTTCTATTCTTTTTTTGTGGTTTCTATTTATTCATCACTCACACGCTGTTTTCCGTCTGTTCCGAGCATTTCCGAAATAAACTGATAAAATTCCATAGTCAAATTCACTGGAACCGACTTAAGTTTGTCCTGCTGAAAGGATATGCGAGATTAGAAGAAGAAAAAACATTATTTGCTTTTAATTTCAAAGTATTAAGTTAAAACAAAACGTATTGTTTTTTGTAAGTATTAAATCACGCAGAGAGTACTATTTTCTTTTACCGGGACTGATAGAAAATTGATCTTAATAGAAAAGAAAAAAAAAACGTTGGGGATAAGATTGTAACCCCGACAAAAAAAATAAAAAAACAACCATAAATTATAAATTCACTACAAAAATAAAATGATAAAGTCAAAAAAAATGTATAATAATAATAGTACAAAAACAGGCATGCATACATCACGATTACTCGCAAAAAATAAGCATAGCTATCATGCCAAAATATATTTCTCTTGATATATTATTTCTATAATCTTACTTTTACAGGTCTTAACTCGGCTGCCTACAGATTGATTATGATGTTTATTTTTATTAGTGAAGTGAAAAATATAGAATGAAATTTCAATCAATTACATACCGAACCATAATACCAAGAATATTTCGGTGGTGGTAAACCTGTTGCTTCACAGACAAGTGTTGCTGTTTTCTTTTCAATAGCACATGGATTAGCACAAGATATACGTGGTTGTGTAACAGATTCTAAATTTAAGACACGAGAAAAAGATAGAAATTCTTTGTTTTTTCTTGTTTCGTCGAAAAAATCATACTTGAAATGATGACTGTTATTGGAAAATCTCTTGTTTCGCCTGTTTCAAGAACATCAGCACGACAACAAAACGTTTCATTATCCGACATTTCCACTCGATTTATACGTAAACCTTCTTTAACACGTACATGATGTATTCCATCTAGATAAGAATAATGCAATTAATAAAAACAAAGGAAAGTCCCAAGAGGCCATTTCTTCAAACAAACCTATGCGGACTTTTTCTGGTCCTTTAAACCAAGAAATTTCAGCTGCTGGATTAGCTTGAACTTGACATCTAATAGTCACTGTTTCTCCAAGTGCAGCATATTGAATCGCATCACCATAGAACGTAATTGGGACTTTAAAAAAAACGAAGAAAAATAGTCTTTTTCTTGTTATGGAATTTCGAAAATATTTAGCAAACTTTTTATTTTCAATTGAAATGATCTTCTAGTTTGTTGGTTAGAAGCATCGACACCAATACATTCCCAATTTCCTATTCAAAAGAATAGAAAGATCTATTTTTAATAATAAATATAAATAATACCTTGATCATCTGCAGTTAAATTTCGAATTCTCAATCGTATTTCATTTGATTGACGTTCAACTGTAACACTATAGAATTTAAAACAATATTATTTTTAAAATTTTTTCATATAGTCTTTTACCGGTCATGTTCATTTTCAGGTACATCAAGTTGTTGCGGTGATCGCCATCCAACAACTCGAGTGTTTGATTCACCCGTGCATGATGCGACAAATGATTTGAATTGATCTCTTGTTAATGACGTTGAACTCGGTCTCAAAACCAAATTAGCATGTACGTGTAACAGGACTATTTAATGAAATACAAAAGAACTCTTTATTCTTGCATTACTGCTTTTTTTTCTTTTGTTCTCCAAAAAAATAGTTTAAAAAAAAAGTGAAAAACGCGGCCAATCTTGTGGATGATAGGTCAAAGAAGAAAACGTAGACAATGCTGTGGTCTAATGACAAAACGATGGAATGACCATCAGGTGTCGTCATATTTCAAGGGACTAATGAGGATTCATCAATTCGACTATTATTATTTCAACTGTGGCCATATGTCCGTAAGTCAACATTAAAGAGTTGGCCTATGATTTATGAATCAATGTACAAAGCATGTATAAACTTACGTAGAGCTGCTATCAATATGGAATACATCGCGTTCGAATGATTTTATATGTGTATATATGAGATTGTCGGTTGTTAGATCGATGAATGATTCATTAATAGAAAAAGCAAAGGTATATCTAAAATATTAAACAAACAGCATAGACACATTTAAATACAATAAAATTGACTATAAAAGGAAAAAAACAAGAAAAGAAAAGTCGCGATGTGATGTAATAATGCCAGTAGGCAAAAAAGAGTCACACACTCGTGTTGCATGCTTCGTTGCATGAAAATTATCTTACCGTCTATGATCAGTACTGTAATTTTTTTCTTTTTAGAGTATGTGATTTGTATGCTTGGTTGCGTGAATAGAAGTCATACTATTATCAAGAGACCAGTATTTTTTAGACTTCACTATTAAGCGCAAGATCTCTATCCGATCTATGCGTATGTGTGCACGCGCGCATATGTAGGCATGTATAGAATGAGGAAAAGAGAAGAAAATGACAACCTTTTCGCCCTCGCACGCTGTGCGAACATAACATAGCGCGCTCGATAAGTGAGTATCTATGAGTAATTGTGGGTGGCAAGAAGAAGGAAGAAGAAAAAAAGCGAAGAAAAAAAGAACCACAAAACTCGATAGCCTAGTTTTTTTTTATGTATATATCTTCTTTCTTTTTTTCTTCTGTTTTTTCTCCTTTCCAGCTACGCGTACGCCAATACAACATGACTTCATTGTGTTGTTCGCTTCTTGTCGTACTGTGATGTGTTGCGCAAAACGATGCCTACTTATTATGGAATGTGGTTATGTCAAACGGACAAAAAATGTATAATAATAAAATTAAAATAAAAAAGAAAGAGAAGCAAGAAAGAAAGAAAGAAAGACATTAACAATCGATAAATATGTCATTTGTATGGTGAAAGATTAATTTATTATTTTTTTACTATAGAATCTCTCAATCAATAATAATGAAAGAGAAATTATTAGTAATCTATAGACAATTTCTTCCGGTTGTGTATATATATATATATATACATATAACTATATATGCATGTATGAAAAGTTATATTAACAAAAGAGAGAAAATTCAATAGAGTAGAGATAATCATGTAAACGATGATGATGAGTTGTGTAAGTCTAATACAATTTAGAAATAAACATCAGCAGTTGTTTGTGACTGATAGACAAGAGCATACACATATCGCGTTTTCCACTGCTCGGCACGGATTAGGTCAGTCACACATGCACTTACTATTTTATGTTCATTAACTTTTAGTCGTACTGTGCATAATTAAAGAGAGTGTGAGAATATGAAAAGAGAAAAAAATGTGATGGTGGACAACAAAAACATTGACGAGCGGAAATGCGTCGATGATCTCCTGCCTGTATACTTTGACTAGCGCGACATATGTCCAGTGGTGAATACCTTGAACAATGAATAGTCGGATCGCGTGTATGCATGTGTGCATTCTGAGCATGTGTGCAATGGAGATCATCGGAGCAACGAAGAAAGAAAGAAAGAAAGTCTTCTTTTCTTTCAATGTGTACCTTAGCATACGAATGTGGACGAATAATGAATTATTGATCAAATCATAGTATGGACGAAACGAACGGACTATGTGTATGTCCACATCATCTTCATCAGAGAGATTAACGTATGTGTGAGTGTATGCACAGGAAAAAAATCGAAAGAGAGTCCTCTTCTTCGTATAGTATTTGCTCACGCAGAAGAGAATCGGCATGCTCTTGTGTATGAATACGTGTATATTCTCCTCTTCGCCATCATCATAATCATCCTAATCGTTGTAGGTGTACGAAGAAAGAAGGAGAAAAAAAAGAAAAACTCCAGTGAATTTACCTTGACCACATATAACTCAAGGAATAATACACTCTTGTATTTTGCCTCTCCTTTTTGTTTTTCAATTGAATAAATGTGAATAGACGTATATATATATATATATATATATATTGTTTTTTATTTATGCATGTACATATTGAGCTGTGCATGTATATTGTTTTGAACTCACACCGACATACGAGTAAAGAGAATAGGAAAAGATTATCAGACAGGTGTATATGAAATTTTTCTAATCACTTGACAAAAAAAAACATGATGCAATCATTTGCTTTTCGTTACTTATCAGCGGGAGTATGTGCCGTCTGTCTGTCTGTCCGAAAAAACTAAACATACAATAAATGATTAAAATAATTCTTCTGTCGATTGTCCGTCCTATTCTATTTTTTCCCGGCACACGCACATAGTTCGTCGGGCCAACAGCTACAATTAGCTATCTTTGCCAACGTTTGATCCTAGCTTGAAGGCAAATGGTAGCGATGATCTCTCTTCGTTTCGACTGTATGTCGAGTGGTCTAACCACTCGACGACGGAAGTTGTTCGCTTGAGCTCGTTATCATGAATGCAAAATCATTATCGACATCGTTGTCGTTTGTCTATAATGATCAAATGTAACATGTGTACTACTCGGATATGCAAAAATGTCTGTGATTTTTATGTATGTATATATATGGCTCAATGTTTAATCATCAATACAGTAGGGTATAGATGTTTATACATTGTCCATCAATTGTGAACACATTAACCTACTCGAAAACTCATAGAATATGATAGATCTTAAGTCTATGTTTCTATTCGATCTCTCAAGAGAATGATTGTCAAAGTAAAAAATGCTGACAGAGGTTATTAGACAGATGGACGAACGAGAGTTTCAAATAGCTAAAGGTGTACACATGGACATGAACAATGATACTTCTATAGAATGAATAATGATGACTGACTCTAAGCCGCATTTTGTATTGCGACCAAAGGATTAAAGTATGACAGCGGACACATTTTTTTCCTTCTTCTTCCTACTCTGTCCATTAATTAAAAATTATGAGATGTGATCGGTTACGTAGTTTGTAAATCTAGAGCTATATATATATATATATCTATACTTGACTAGAAATATGTTAATAAATACATATTCTTGTCTAATATATGGAATAAATATAATGATTAAGTAGAACAAACATACATGATCAACTTTCTAATTTGACACGCGACATGCCGCCAAAACGTAAATTAACCTCCTCCTACTCAATACATCCGTTTGTTACTTACCTGAATTCTTTGACCGTCGGCCATCATATGTCCGTAACAACAAGAAAGAATAATCTTTTTTCGTCCCATCATTAAATATATTTGTATGTTATTCTAACGCATTACTTACTCGTCTCTCAGTCATGATTACAAAGAATAATGATTGACAATTTTTAACGAGAAAAAAGGTCACATAGCAAGTGTATGCATGCGTCATGATTTAAAGGAATATATTCCAAAAAAGAAATCATTAATCAATGGACAGATGATTAGTTGAAAAACCGGAAATTCGTGCACCAATAGTCAGTTGAATCGTTCTAGAAAATAAAAAATTGAATTAGACAAAAGAAAATAATGAAAGTGATATAAGAAAAGCTTGATTGATGTCATTCATTCCATGCTCTATCTGGAACACAAACTCATGTCTTCTTTCTTTTTTGATCAGTAAAGAATAGCAATTATATGATGGTGTAAATCTCAAAAGACAGTCTTGAATTGTACACAGTGTTAATCCAATGAACGATCATACTATCAACACTCCCCGATGGCTGGTAACAGCAACCGCATCGAAGTAATATTTGCATAACGTGATCGACTTGTCGTCTGGTGCCACTCATTGAATTTCTCATCTCTTTTTTCTTGTTTTTTTTTGTGTGTATTTGTATGTCTCTCTCTCTCTCTCTCTCTACGCTCTGTCTTCTTAGTTCAACACAGTTAATGTTTGTCTAGTTTAAATATTTCTTTTGCTTTCTTTACACACCTTTTGTCTTCATTTCGAATAGACAGACATAATCAAGATGCTTTTTAATATGGTAAAGTTTATCGAGAGAATACCATTTCAATAATGATGAGATGATGAACTTCTGACTTCTTGGAAGAATAAGAAAAACAAAAAGATGTGATTGATGACAATCCAAGATGGCTGAATAACATCAAACAATAAATGAAATGCATGCATGAGGAAAAAAGGATATAGAAGAACATTATGTTTATTCATCTAAACAATATATATATATATATATCGACTAAAGCGCAACTAACTATACTGATGTTTCATTTATAATATATTGTTGTTATTTCCTGGAGACATTTTGTTTTCTTCATCTCGAATAAACCATTAGAAGAGAAAGAGCACATCCGTATTCTGTTTTTTTGATATTGGATACGTTTGTATACGTACTTACTATGTACACGGAAACAAGATTCGAAACATGTGCAAAGTGTTTTATGTTCAATCAGCCAGTAGCTGTCCTGATAGGATGAATTAATCGATATTAATCTGGCAGTCGCTCTCATCATAATCATTTAGGTCGTCACGAACAAATTCATAGCCGCAGGTGCTAGAAAAAAGGATATAATGAAAAAAAAAGAAGTAGAAGGAGGGCGTCCTCGTCAGTTGATCAGCGCCTATATACCTACTTCAGATTTGAACAATCAACCGATGGTCACTATTCTCAAATCACATACATGAAATAGTCTTCAGGCGAAAATAAGAAGAAAGAAAATACTCGTTAAATTCCAAACAAGTAAATGGATCCTTTTTCTTTTAAGCTAGGATTAATTAACTCGTATATCATAATTTATTTTTCATTAAATGAAGCTATTTCTCGATTGTTTTTTTTTTATGATATTTACATATATACGTTCAAGAAAAACATGACTGATAAGAAAATTATCTTGATATAACTTACATATAAACATGATCGATGATATCATTGTTATCTGTTTGTCAACCTTTACCGATTACCGATGCTTCAGCTAGTATAGTAAAGGTCAATAGTATTTCGATTATCAGTAATGGCTCAATAGGTGATGATCAATACTATTTGTAAAGAAGAGAAAAGAACAACAAAGGAACAAAAGAGAAATCTATACAGCAATTAACAAACCGATAAATTGTATAGTTATTCAATAGGAAATCGTTGTCAAACAATGTATTTAATCGAAAAGACAACAGAGATCGACGAAATACAATTTCAGTATTGTGTCTTAAGCTCATTGGGTCAATGTGATCTCATTAAAAAATACGAAACAAAACGTGTTACATGAGAAAGATTCATGATTTTGGGTTTTTATTGTTTCATTTGTTTTATTCACAATGTAGTAGATTTTAAAGCAGCAACAAGTTTTTTATGAGTATCATAAACAATTTCTAGGTTTTCTTTCAGAAGTTATATACATTTTAACTTATTCAGAATAGGATTTGTTCTGAGAACTTTTCAATCGAAAAATCTAGCCTATCCTAAACTTTTCTCATCCATTGAGCAGATCTACTTTGACAGGTTTTATGTAGAAAAATGGCCAATTCAATAGAATGAAAAACAAATAAAAGTTGGTATATTTCTTGTTCCATCGGAAATAAGTCATGCAAGAATAATTTTTACAATTACATTACCTAGGAAGGAAATGTGGAAGTTCGCTGTCATAAAAAAGTAAGAACAATTTTCGTAGAATTGCTTCATTATCTTGGATATTTTAAGATGATTCATTGTAATCTATGCTCTTCTTCCAAAAAGTAAAGCATAGAAAAAACCAATACTGATAACAAAAGAAATTCCAACTTTCAGTTTTCGATATTAGTGATTTCAGTAGGAAGAGGTGATATTCCAATACCAAGATCAAATTTCACAAAAAAGAATGATGTTACATTCAACTTATGTGTCGTAAATACTATGTTCCGTTTCGTTTCACCTTAACACATACGTCGTTGATTTATGTTCGATATATTTTACAATATCAGATAAAATAACGCAGATATTGGGATTTCCATATTTCAATGAAAATGACGTAAGTACGCGAAATATGCGAAGGAAAATATGACTCATCACTGACAAAAGGGAAAAATACAATAAGGATAGAACTGGAATTTTCGTGAAGCACATTTTACAAATCGTATATATTATGTATACATTACAGTTTTTAATTTATTGCAGACTTAACGAGTTTTGATTTATTTACAAGAAATTCAGTAAAATTTCAGTTATTTATTTATTTTGTGTACACTGGGTATATTTTATCATAAAATATTACAGGTAGTATAAATACTATGAAAATTTTCACTATGCTGTGACGTTACGACATTTATTTTTACAGATCAAACAACAACAACAAATGACGCGTAGTACAGAAGAATCACAAGTGAGAGAGAGTCATAATGGTGTTTGTGCGAATAGTAAACCAATTTTATCAAGACAAACTTCATGGAAGCGACATAATTCCCAAAATGAAAAAGAGGTATGTACCATATGATTCGTATTATTTATTCTCATTAAAATAGAAACTCATTCGACGAGTGTAGCAGATGTCAGTATAACCCAGATCGAGCAATCCGACAGTAGGCACCTATCGGAATCCATCCGATCCGACTGGAATCCAATAGAATTGTATCGGATTGTAGGATATTTCCAGGTTTCTATCGGATTCGATGTCCGATCAGTCGACCTGGAACGTGTCATAAATATGATATCAAATTCATGGCACATGAGAATAAGTAGTTTCGTTTAAAAAATGACTAGGAGTATAAAAATACGCAGAGAAAAAGAAGAACTTTTATCAAGTCTGTTGATAGACGATTTATTTATACGATGCATTCTGTTTAAGAGTCTATTTTGTATAAAATCAGTGTTCTCATACAAAAACAAATAGTCAAATGCATCGTATCTATTTCATTAGTCATTCTCAATAGAAAATAATTTTTAGTATTCCGCTGATACTTTGAATTTACTTTACGTTCAATGCTTTCATTTTGTCCTTTTTTAGAATGATATCGACGATATAAGAATAAAACGAGGAAGGAACACTACATTTGATTACATTTCATGTCCTCTCGCTCATATGGGTTGTCGAAGAGATTTACATCAGGATCATTTGCAAGAACATTATTTAACTGCACAACATCAAGAATGCGTAACAAAATGTACTATGTTATGCCTAGAAAAATTACACGTTGAACCAAAAGCTATCTCTACTTTACTAAACAATGACGAAAAGTATTCACAAGTAATGGAGTCTGTGAATCTACTTGCTGAAGGATTATCCGTATTAAACGACGATAATACGCAAATACATAGTAATCAAATACAAATTCAAAATTCTATATTAGAACAACAAAATCAAATAGATCAATTAAAAAATTCAATAGAAGAAAGTGTTAAATTCTCCCAGGCTACTCAGATAAATAGCCGAGTTTTAGAAACTGACATCGAATCTATAAAACAAAGAGTATCAGATTTATCAAGTCCAGCAACTAATGATGGAACTTTTATTTGGAAAATAACAGATGTTGCGGAAAAGATGAATGATTCAATTTCTGAAAAGCAAACAAGCATTTATTCACCACCATTTTATACATCACCCAATGGCTATAAGATGTGTATGCGGTTATATTTCAATGGCGATGGACAAGCGCGAAAAAGTCATCTTTCTATTTTTTTCGTTCTTCTGCGAGGAGACTACGATGCTATATTATCATGGCCTTTTTGTTTTAAAATAACATTTTGTCTATACGATCAAACAAACAATCAAAATCATATTATTGATTCATTTCGACCTGATATTAAATCAAATAGTTTTCAACGACCGAGATCAAATATGAATATTGCATCTGGCTTACCAAAGTTTTGTCCTTTAACAATGATTCAAACAAGTAATAATCCGTACGTACGAGATGATTGTATGTTCATCCGATGCATGATTGAGTTCGAATCATTATCAAAACTAGCTATTCGTCAAATATGCAAAATAAATGTGGCTCTACCGAAAACAATTCAACAAAAATTGATTCAAGAAGAAATTGAACGAGTTAATACTCCACAAACATCAGTATCAATTGGAGAGAACATGGTAACGAGCAACGAAAAACTAAATGTATCTTGAAAAAAAAACAGTAATTTATCCTCATCATAGGCAGTCAAATTATAGATTCTTAATTGCGAATAGTAAGAATTATTTTCTTGTCAAATAATATTTTTTTGTGCAAAAAAAATCTATTATGTTCTATTTTTTATATTCATGATCTTATAAATTTCGAAATTCCAAACGGTAAACATTTAAATTCTTTATTTTTTTCCGATGACCAATGAAATATTTCTAAAAACATAACACAAATGTCTTTTTTTTTTGGAAAGAAAAAATGTCGAACTCGAACTTAATATACATTATTTTTTTAAATAAAATGATATGCACATTGTTCGAGGTTGTTTTAAATATAATCTATTTAACATAAGAATATTTTCTAACAGACTAATTGTACGATTAAATGGAATGTTCTGAAAATAGTATATACTGATAACATCGGAACAGTATAAACAGCTATAGACTAGTGAATATTTGGTTGATTTTTCTTTTCGTTAACTAGTAAAAAGGAAACTTTTATCATAAGTTGTCAAAGTTTTTCTGGGACGAAGAATAGATATGGATTCATTCAATAACTATTTTTCCGACAGGAACTTTGTACACAGAACTTCACATGGGGAAAAGCGGATTTTGGATTTTTGGATTTTTAGAGATTTTTAGGATTTTCAAAATTCAAGCCGTGAATGATGGAATTTCTACCTGAAATTTTTTCCATATGTAGGTCTCATGATCCTTAGAATATTCTAAAATTTTCAGCGCAAACGAATGTTTCCTTCTCAAGATAATAAACGCGCAAGAAATGTTCATTTCACGGCACGGTCAGAAAATCCAGTTTTTTTGAAAATTCAATATTTTAAGAAGAAAACCTTTGCTCGAGTTGAAACTTTTAGGATCTTCTATGGAGCATGAAACCTATATATGGGAAGACTTTTAGGTCGAAACTACGCCATTGACAGGGAGTGAGATGCTTTTCAATTTTGGGGATTTTTGGATTTAAAATTCCAAAAAATCCGTCATTCTCCTTTCGGACTTCATCTTACCTCATAGTTATTTACCTTCTATAAAGTGACTTCCATGTGTTTTATTCTTTTGTTACATGAGTGTGTACATTTGTACTGAGCATCAAACTATTTAAATACTAAGTATTTATCATTGAAACTAAGAAGCGACAAGGAAATTTGATATTCATTTTTGTCACTCTAAATATTAAGAAAAAATAATCAATGAAATAGTTATTTTAGTTTGTGTGATTACGGTTGATTTTAGTCATAGTTTCGGACATATCCCTAATGTTGTCTTCCACTATCTGATAGTTTCTCATAAAAACGTGAGCAGCACTGGCTTTTAGTTAAAATAAGAAGAGACAGTCGCGATCATAATTATTGTATCGCATCATTTTATTTGATTTTTCAATAAAAACTATCAAACTTTATTGTCTCATCATACTGGATATCGATGTTTCTTTATGAGATAGTAGATCATCTTCGGTGTGTCGGAAACCCATTGTTGTTCTTCGTTGAAAAGTATTTGGCACATAGTAACGGAATTCAAAATGCATTACACTATCAATCAGCAACAATACATTTAAGTCACGAAAATGGCTAGCAACTACATCGAACGAGTTTAATGATGAGGGAATGTGTAACTAGCCAAATATTTAACACAGCATTTTGAATCGTAAAACTAAAATTAGGCATGCATGAAGTAAAATATACGAAAGAACCACTTGAAAATAGGTCAATACAATATATGACTAATACTACAATGATGATGCAAAAATTCTAATGAAAAAAATGAAAATGAAAAACCTGTCATTTGTCAAACATACGCATTTCGATCTACTTTGTTGTAGAGAGGAAACCAATAGGAATACATACATATAGGCAATTTTGTATAATTCATTAGCTGCAGTGCTTGCGCATGAACATCAGTGATATTGAATGGCATCGACACACACATCTGCGCAACTTCAACACAGATTATTTCCATATGTGCTATATTAAAACATACTGATATTGAAAGTATAGCAATGAATTAAGATTATTTGTTATATAATTTATTATTATCTACGACATCAATCTGAGTCGGCTAATGTTTGTTCTCATTATTTATTCATCTTTGTACGTGCAGTAAAGACATATGTATATTTATATGCTGGCGATGAGCAACATACGAGCATATTTCTTCTTCTTCTGTTTTTCATACATCAAGATAACAAAATAGTTAGTAGTATCAACATAGCTATTATTAAATTAAGATAATCCGAGCAGTTCTCAATATTTTTTGATTTGTCTTGTGAAAAAGCAAATGCTTACAACTTTCAATTCAAATGTCAAAGAAACAATTCGATTTATTTTTATTTTCATCTTAAATATTAACATCTGTTTAATGTTTATTTTTTGCTTGTTTATGCTTTAACTAATACAACTAAAAAATAGCTCACATATATAAATCAAAACACACTAATGCATAATGCAAATCTATAGTAAAAAAAAAACAAATAAGCACTGTCAGTTCAATGGACCACAACTAACATTAATTAGATGTTTGATTAAAAACTCCTAGGATGTGCAAAGTTGATATAATTCAAGTGCGTGTTGTCGACCAGTAATTAACCATCGATTATCAGGACTTGTACAAAGACAGCGTATAAAATTATCTTGATTTGGAAAAAGTTTCAGTCTTGTAATTTGCCCATCAGGTGATACTAAACAATGGCCAATGTTAACGCAAGGCATACATATTTTAGCAAACCATTGCCCGTTATTATGTAAATCGATGGGATATAAAATATTTTCACCAGTATTGCAATTAATTCGATGAAGAAGTCGATCATTATTTAAATTGACTAAATCAATCATTTGTTGTTCACCAATAGAAACAGAAAGAGCTAAGATTTTATTTGAATTTAATCGAATGGTTGTTACACAAATATTTTCATTTTCTAAATACGCACGAGGTGATTGAACAAGAGAAAAATTTGAAAGAGAATAACGACGTATATCATATCCAAATGAACGATTTACAAGTAAATCATCGCCATCGACTGCCATGTATGATTTTCGAGGACCTTCAGCAATAAACTAGAATCATAATAATCAATCAGTCAAGTTTTTGTTAATATTACTTGAATAAAAATTTCTTTTGGCAAAAATCTAACCTGAATTTCATGAATAGGAACCGGTTGTAATTTTTTACAACCAGTTTGATACAGTTGATCCGTTGTAAGAAGAAGAAATTTGCCAAGCTTCGATGACCAAGCTATTTCTTGAATATCTCTACAATCAACTGGTAGGATATTTGTTTCCATACTCATTGTTTCCATATGAATTAGACGAAGTTGTCTACCATCGAGCAAAAGAGTATGTGCTCGTGAAGCATCAAGTAGAAGACAAGCTGTATCAAGTTCAAATCGTTTTATTAAATGTTTACCATGACCATCGAGTATTTGTTCGAGAGATACTGATATCGATGGCAATACTAGACGAGATATCTAACGACCTTTTATTGGTAAAAAAGAAACAGAAATTCTTTTTGTAATCGTTTACTTTTTTCGATGATATTGATAATCGAGATGATTTCGTACCATTTGATATTCGTTGATCAATAACTTGTGCACGATGAATTGATATTTTACTTTTTAAAATAATTGGACCTCCATTTTGTACTAATTTTACTGGTGATTCTGGTGGTGACGATGAATGTCTACAACCCATTTTGTTATTTGTCTATGTCGTTCTATTTCTATTTTATTAAATGATCTAATTTGATAAATTTTACTTTAGAAAAATTGTTTATGAAAATATTCTAAAGATCAACAATTATGAAAATAAATTTGATGAAATAGTTCGACTTTATTTATATTTGTACTTTAATGTATAACGAACATGCATAGCAGCTATACAGAATAACAAATGGGAGTGGGGGGAAAATGTTCGTTCGATTTTCTTTATATGTATACGGATAAATTGAAACCCTGGAATTGAATATGAATCATAAAAGATTATATGGACAAATCTTCGTGTGATTATGCGAGACGTACGAAATTCATTTATCAAAATATTCGTTTTTTTTTATTTTGTAAGATAATTGTCCTAGATGACACTTTATCAAAGATTTAATAGTTTAGAGAGAAAGATTTGTATTATCAACCACTAAAACAATTACAAAAATATGCTCTCAATATGTCGATATTCAGTTTATCATGAAAATTTCAAATATTTTCAGTTTTCTAGTCATATGATGTAGCTTTACTTTTGCTTATTTACATTCACAGATTTGGTATCCATATTTCAGAACCCAAATATGTCACATAACTTGGCATTTTCACACTAAAGTCACAGAATATTAGTCAGCAATCGTAAGGTATGCATCATCGATTATGTGTTGTTTTCAATGACTCACGTATTTTTTTACTTCCTAACTTCTTTCCAATTTGACTGCATTTGTTATAAATTTCACTGTACGAATAGCAAATTGCATTTTATGTGCGTAAAACATTCTTTTAGCTTATTTTCACATTTCGTTTTGTAATATTTCGTAAAGTTTAGCGAAACCAATGGCTATTACTAATGAAAATGCAACCACTCAATTTGATACTTCAATGGAAGGCGGTGATATAGATCGAGATCGTATTGTTAACGGTGATGTGTTACCAGATGAATATTTTTGTCCGATTTGCCGTTTTCTTCTGTGGGATCCACGTTCATGTTCGTCGTGCCAGAATTTATTTTGTCGAAAATGTATTCAAATCTGGTTGAAACATTCGAACGCTAGTAGACAATGTCCATTTCGTTGTCCAGCGTACGAAGAACGGAATTGTCCACCATCATTCTCTTCTCTATTATCAAAAACAAAAATAAAATGCCGAAATACTTCATTAGGCTGCACCGAAGTTTTATCTTATGATTTATTAGAACGACATGAAAATGTTGAATGCAAATTCTTGACCAGAACTTGTCGTGAATGTATGCAATCGATCCTTGTATCTGAATTCGATGAACATATTAAAATACCTGGCAAATGTAGTCCATGCCCGATTCAATGTATAATTTGTCAATTGTTCATAGAAAAACATGAGTTTCAAGATCATTTTCGTCAATGCTATCAAAATAGACTTGCTAATGTTTTTCAACAATTTAATACACAACAGCAAGGACTGACTGAGCCACAAGCTACGTTTGCATTAACTGCAGAACAAAGAAATCTGAATTTTTGCCGTACACTGTTCACTACGGTCAATTTAGTAGAGCAACAAAGGCAAAATTCAAGATTTCCGACCACCTTACGCGGTATTGACACGATTCAACAAGCACGAAATCGTGGATGTGGCCATTTGCATCATATTTACTTGATGATGATATTCATTCTAATGAATTGGAGAAGAGCGCCACAACTTATTTGGGTTATGACGCTGAGTAGTTTCATAGCTGCTAGTGTCATGATTCTTGGATTCTATGTGATCTGTCTGGGCTGGGCTTCAAAACATATCTATTTAGGTATTGGCTATATTATGTTATTTAGTTCTCTTATCAGTTTCGTCATTCCCTACTTTTTACACTGCGTTACGGATAAATGGATAATTTTCTCTATGGGATCTATACTACTATTGATCAGTTGCGCAATACGAGGACCATTAGAAGCATATGAACTAGATTTGCATAAGAACAATGCTATTATTAATATTGTTAGATGTTGTTTTGGAATAGTTGTTACAGAAGTTTTCCTATTGCTCTTTCGATTCTTCTTCTGGTGTTCGCCGATGTATTTGACAGCAGCTATATTGACTTTCGTAAATGTTTTTTTTATGATTCAAATACGACGCACTGCCGGTATGGCAACAAATATTGTATAACGATTACTAAGTATTTTAATGATTTTTATGGATTGTAATCATTTTTCATTTGAAACCATGACGTTACTATAGCATCAATTATTGTAAAAGCACGCTCAGTTGATAATTTCTTCATAGTCTATCAGAATTTATATCACAAAATAATCGATGTGCTCTTATACTATTATCAAATAATAAAACAATATTTTCCTGGATGTATTGCTAAATAACCAGAACTTTTCAGCTTTGAGTTCAAGTTTATTTCATTTATACATCCACAAAGTTTTTTTTTGTTTTCATCAAAATGATCACATTAAAAACACGCAAAACTTCAGCTCAAATGTTCAAATTAAATATCAATCATTTACTTGTACTCTTTCACTGATAGAAGAAGAAAAAAAGAATAGACTAAAATTAATATAAAGAAAAGAACATCTCTAAATATGTGTTACATGAAATTGACTAAAAAGCCTACATGAAAAAGAAAACAACCAAAGACAAAGAAATTAATGTGAAAGATACACGCACAATACGGTGTACAAATTGAAAACACAACATTGATTAATTTATCTGCTTTTTTTGTCGACATCTCCTTTAAGAATCTGTTCTTTAAGTTCAAGTTCTTCAAAATCCGATTTCAACCAATCGAGCATATCTGAAAAAATAACAACACCATTTCCCGATGGATTTGATATAGCTGGTAATGGTCGTTGATTGCTAAGCATATCATTATCTTCTTCTCCATTTTGTTCGGCTCCTGTACTATTTTCATTGGAAAACATATCATCATCATCATAATCAAGACAATTCGATGCATATTGTTGTTGATGAATTTTATAATGATTTTTCATACGATATGCCGATGGAATATATTGTTTACAGATTGAGCAGACACGTCGTTTTAATTCTTTTCGTACGCTTGCACAGCAGAAATCAAATGGTAATACATCATTTTGTGTATGTTGCATAACAACACCATGAAATTGTATACGTTGAATTAAGGAACCATAGAAAACACCTTTCTGGTAATCACGTTCGGCCATGGCAATACCACGTGGTGTACGTTCAAATGGAACTGGTGCCGGAAGAAAACGATGAGGAAAGACTTGAATATAATTTGAACGCCATGGACCACAACATGATATGGAATTGCAACGAATTATTTGAATTGTATATTGAGTTTGAAGAACATGTGTAGCACACCAATATCTGAAAGAAATTTTTAAAATTTCTATAATTCAATACTACAAAGACTCGAATGAAAAACTTACTCGTCAATATCATATTTTGGTGTATCTCGTAATAAATCTCCATCAGATGTAATACGTGGAGCACGAACGTTTTCTTGATAATATTCATCAGTTTGTCGAATACGTCGTTCAATGGGTTCTTCAGTTTCTTCTTCTTCGCATACACTAAAATAATTATTTTCAAAAATATTGTCTTTTAAGTCCTCCCACAAGATGATTAATCTTACCGATCTAGTAGATTGTTCATAACAACATTAACGTCAACTAAACGTATTTCATCTTGAGTTGATGCAGGTGGATCAATATATTCAGCGACAACAGGATATTCATCAATAACAGATCCACACCAAACTTCAGCTAAAACTTCTCCAGCTTTTTTGAAATTGATCCGTTCTAATTCAGAATTAACAGTCACACCTGAATCATTTAAATGTGTACCAAAATGATCATGAGGTAAAATAAGACCAGCTAAATCATGTGAAAGTGGCGCCATACGTCGTTCGACAACATTATAAGCTGATTGACCAGGTGCATGTGTAAGAACAAATAATGCATCTAGATTATATTTGCGAAATTTTCGTATACTAGCAACCAATGTTTTTGGAAAACGAGGATTTTCATCAGGGCCGCCATCAACAGTAATAATAACCACTGGTTTAACATGACCTGTATAATCACGTGCAGATTTTTCGAATTCTTTAAGGCCAACAAGACGATCAAAATCACATGCATGACTAGTTGCATCACTTCGATCATGTTTAGCAGAACGAACAGCAATATAAGTTGGACCGGAATAGCCTACATCACTATTTTCATTCATCATACAAGCAGCATAGACACTAGAAAAAGAAAAGATTTGTTTTTGCTTCAGACAAAAAGAAACGAAATGCTACTGTACCTAGGTGTCAACTGATGACGAGGTGCTACTGTCCAATCGTGATCAGGTAAACGAACACGATAATCCAAATGCATAAGCATAGGTGCTTGAATTTTTGCAGCTGGTAAACCGATTGGTACTTTACATTTATCATCTTGTGATAGGAAAAAGACAACATCATTACCAAATATACCAGCTAAATCTTTAATATAACGAATTGTTGCTGTTGCAAAATGACCATCTAATAAAAATCATCACAAAAAGAAACCTTTTTTTTCTATTAATAAATATTAATTAGAACTAATAACAACCTTCATGTTTGCTATGTTCATCATTTTGAGCTTTTCGTAGACGTACAGGAACTGTTCGCACGTGTTTTTTACCATCAATTGAATTTGAACGATGTGGTAATAAACTATACAATAGCAAGATAAACATTCAATGTTTTACTGAATATTAAGAAGAAGAAAAAAAAACTTACCGATAATAGAGTGTTGATCGTTTAATATCATAACCACGTTCTTTAATCTTTTCACGTAAATCATCCAGTGTTAGACAAGGTCGAATAGTTTGTGAACGACGATTATCATCGGCAGCACCACCAACTTTAGCAATTTCTTCAATAATTTGTAATAGATCAGGACATTCTTCTTCAATAGGCGGTCGACCGATAATTGGCCGATAGATTTTATTTAGTTCAGCTGCTAGTTCAGGATTCTTTTCACATAATGCTTCTATTTTACGCTTAAAAGATTGAAATAAAAAGATTTCAAATATGATATATTAAACATTTAAATTACTTTTTTAATTTCTCGTGCACGTTTTTTTGCACTTTGTTCAGCTTTTAATCTTTTTAAATCATTGGATTTTTTCTTTTGTTCAACTAAGAGTTTTTTTAGCTGTTTTTCTTGCTCTGCTGTTGCCATGCCCATATTTTTTACTTGAACTAATTGAATAATACGTTCATTAATTTCATAAATTTCTTTTGAAACTTTTTCTTGAGCTGGTGCTCGAGTCTTTTTTGCAAGAATTTCAGCAGCTGTACGTATTTTTTCAGTTTTTTTCTTGCTTGTTTCCTCTCCACCATTGACTGTATTGTTTTCAATTTCTTGATCTTCGTTTTCTTCATTTTCATTGATTAAATCATTTTCAATATCGGATGAACGTACTCGTTTTCGACGTCGTTTTCCAACGCGACCTTCTTTTGCAGGTTGGCTATTAGTTTCGGATTTCTTTTTTCGTCCCCGAGTTTTCTTAACTGGTTCACTTTCACTTTGATCTACAACTGATTCACCCTTGGAATTGAAAATTTCAAGATATTCTTCAATTTTTTGTTTAACAAGTTTTTCATCAGTTTTTATCTCATTCCATTCAGTTTGCGCTGCTGTATGCGATAACTAGAATGTAAATGAAGATCGTAGATAAATTCTAAACAGAGAATAGGATTTCAATGACTTTGACTTACACATCGAGTTATACCAGGATGACCTTTCATATAGGCATCAACAAAAGTTCGATATAAACAGTAGCGTGGAGTCTTGTTCGACGGCATCTTTGACTCACTACTTGCTTGTCTAGAAAACTATGGTGTATGTGTACGCCCGAACTTACTAGTAGTAAAGATGAAAGAAAGAATAAAATAATTCACTGAAGAAAAAGGAAAAAGGACGTCGCGTGCTGCTTGTGACCGCTCAATGACCTCCTCCCCTAGTAAATCTATGCACGTCCTATTCTCGACCGCGCTTTTTTAACCAACCAGATGTCTACAGAAGGTACATAGAATTATATGTCCTTTCTATTTTGCTGCATATGAGAATAGAATGAGAGAAAAAAGAAATATTGTTATAGTACGCATTTAAACTATGTCACGTTTTTAGTTGGTTATAATATCAGTACAATTGTATACAATTAGTCTTTTGACTGTAAAGAAAAATTAGTATGAAATAATTCTTAGTATTGCTTTTCTCTTTAAGGCAATACTCATCAGAGAAAATTCAACTATTCGACATCTAAAATATTAGCAATTATGTGTATTGGTTTTCTCCGTAAGCCATCGTCCTTAATGAATGAGTTTTGTTGTTTGCTCTTTTGAATTTAAATTTATTCTTGCTTGAGTTATTTTCTCTTTTAAAGATAACAATATAGGACACAAAAAAAGAAGCCAATTAAAACTACGAGTTTCCTTGTGCTTTATAATCAAGTTTTGATTCAAGTTTCTTGCTTTCAGCTACTTTGCGTACAGCTTTTGAAAAATCGTCTTCTTGAACATAATCTCGTTCAGCACGAATTGCAAACATACCAGCTTCAGTACATACATTTCGCATATCAGCACCATTAAATCCATCACTCAATTTTACGATAGCTTCATAATCTAGAAAGAAACACAATTATTTCCATAAATAATGAGAAGAAAGATTCTTTACCAATATCGCCTCGTTTTGCTATTGGTGCTGCATGAATTTTAAGAATATCAAGGCGAGCTTGTTCATTAGGTAGAGGAATTTCTAAATTGGAAAAAGAATTCATCCATTTATTTCAACAAATGACTGTTTTTGTTTTCGTACCGATTTTTCTATCAAGTCGACCTGGTCGCATCAATGCTGGATCAAGAGTATCAGGACGATTTGTTGCCATAATTATTTTAACTTTACCTAATGTATCAAAACCATCCATTTGATTCAGAAGCTAGCAATACATCGTTATTCGATTTTTTTATTTTAAAAAAAAGAAGGTTAAAGTGCGTACTTCCATCAAAGTTCTTTGAATTTCTCGATCAGCTGATGTACCTTCGGAAAATCGACGTCCGCCTAAATATTAATAATATGAATATTTTATATAAGAAATTGTATTTTCTCTTTACCGATAGCATCGATTTCGTCCATAAAGATGATACACGGTTGATGATCTTTGGCATAGGCAAACATTTCTCGAATCATACGAGCACTTTCTCCAATATATTTATCAACAATAGCACTTGAGACAACTTTTAAAAAATTACAATCTAGTTGACTAGCAACTGCTCGAGCTAATAAAGTTTTTCCTGTGCCTATAAAAAAAAACGTATTGACAGTTTACAAGTTAATGACATTCTATTGAAATTACCTGGTGGTCCAAAAAGAAGACAACCTTTTGGTGGTGTAATACCAACACGCTGAAATAATTCAGGATTCGTTAGAGGTAATTCTACGACCTGTATTATTTAAGAATCAGAATATTTGTTTTTTCCCAAATTTCGATTAAACATTATGCTATTCACCTCTCGTAATTCACGAATTTGTTCGCTTAAACCACCGACTTCACCGAATGAAACATTTCCTGGATCTTCATGTGACATATTGTAAACTAATGGATCGACTTCTCGTGGTAGATAACTGAAACAAAATATTGCAAAAAAGAAAGAAGCAAAATTATTAATAATTCGTACCGCATCACAGTTAATGTTGTCATGTCAAGAGCAACACGTGTACCAGGTCGTAATTTAGCTTTATCTAATTGACGACGACAACCAACAACATATCGAGGACCATTAGTTGCTTTGACAATAACTTTTTTGGAAAATTAATATCATTATTTTATTCAATTTATATATTTGAAATTCAACTTACATTTATCTTCAGTTAATTGTTTCAATACTTCTCCAACAATCTAAATTTAAATACTAGAATAAAAACAATAGATTTTATAAATTTACTTGTCCAACACTTTGTAATGCTTTTAAATCATTTTCACTTTTATCATAGTCTTTTGTAAATGTTCGTAAATCTTCACGGACTAAAAGAGAATTTTTTTTTATAGATAAATCATTTTATTTTCGTAAGCCTATACGTTGCTTAAGACGAGCTTCAATTTCTTTATGTTCCATGATTTTCTTTCGAAAGTCTTCTAGTGCTTTTTCGCGTGGATTAACCGTTGAAACGGCTGGTGTTGTTGTTGCTGAGACCATATTTGTTTGAAACGGTTTCAAGATTGAAAATAAAAAGAATGATATTCGTTCGATCGACAAGAGAAATAAACAAAACGTATGATTCATCAATCCATCCATCACAACATAAAATATGTTAGACATCTGCAGGAACAACAGGTGTCACCCTATATTTGCCATATCTCGAATGAGGAAAATGAATTCTATTGAGATTTGACATTTTTTTCTAGCCCAGGTGAAAGAAAACGGTCCGTAAACACGTCAGGGAAGTTAGCACAAGATTCAAGTTTTTCCAGCCCGGATTCGCCTATATGGTTGTGTTGAATTTCATTTTCGTTGTGTTGGATGCAGAATTTTGTGCTGAATCGAATGGTGTAACTTTTAAAGGGGTTGCCGATCAAAATCTGGCACTTTACCTGAAAATACTGCTTTTTCTGAAAATCTTGTAAAAGTAATTTCAGCCCGGATTCGTTGCTTTAGCTGTGTTGAATCTGAAAATAGTTGTGTTGAATTCAGAATGAAATTCTGCATCAAATGATGCTAAACTTGTATGGGGTCATCGATCAAAACATTTCTGGTCTCACCCAAGTCATCCCTCCAAATCTATATTCCAGCCCCACCCAAGTCGAAGAACTTTGGCCGATGACCCCATACAAGTTTAGCATTATTCGATGCAGAATTTCATTCTTAATTCAACACAACCATTTCCAGAACCAACACAGCTAAAGCAGCGAATCGGGGCTGGAATTACTTCTACAAGATTTTCAGAAAAAGCAGTATTTCCAGGTAAAGTGCCAGATTTTGATCGGCAACCCCTTTAAAAGTTACACCATTCGATTCAGCACAAAATTCTGCATCCAACACAACGAAAATGAAATTCAACACAATCATGTAGGCGAATCCGGGCTGGAAAAGCTCGAATCTTGTGCTAACTTCCCCAACGTGAAGTAAAGGGGTTTCGTTCATTTTTTTTGTAGTTATATTTCAGACTGTTATACTATTTTTCTGGTTGACTAATCTTGTTAACAAAATAAATTTATTATGATGATAAAGATTTTGTTAATTATGATATTCAAAATATGTTTTAAAAGATCACTATGCTACTTACTGTACGAAGTAAATAATAAATATCTTATTTACCAATACAGGTTTAAAGAAAACGAAAATGGTACTGTGATATAAATAATGCCAAATATCGAAGTATATAGATGTTGATGAAGGATTAGAATAAAATATGTCATGTATATCATCTACTAAAGCAACAACTGACTCTATTATTACCAAAGAGAATAATAATCATTGAACGAGAAAAGATCATACAAGAGTGTTGAATGAACTGAACCATGCTCAATCGAGCCGATACTATGAGTCGAAATTATCTTGTCATAAAAAGTCATATACTGAATTGGCTCAAAGATCAGTAACCTTACATTAATTTTCTTCTAGACTCAATCTACTAACATCAAAAGCAAATTTGTCGAAATATATGTTCTTATATTTGTTTTGGTATTAAAAACTATTATAGTAGAACATAAAAATACATAGTAGATTACTGAATCAAACACAATGAGTATCGAAATGAAAGAATTTTTCTTTAAACAATTACAATTTCAAGCGGTCAGGCAATAGTCAACGGTACTAAATGAATTCGTTTAACACTTATGATAGAAACAACGATTTGCAATTGAAGGAAATCATTAGGCAAACAGTAAATGATTTGACTCGAGAGCACTTAAAATGTTTTTCAGATGGATTGATTAATCCATTTAAACATTTATTTTCTCCCACAATAAAGAATTTCGAATGTAATAACTCACCTTTACTTTAAATCAACACTTTGATTTTTATTTTTTATACTAATGTACTGATATTCATCTTATCGTATAAATCAGACATTTTCTGACCTGTCAATCAATTTCTTTGTTCCTCATCAAGTAACTACATTACTACCATTTGCCCATTAACAGAAGAAAATTATTTTAGAGTAGAAGCTGCCCAGGTCAAACAAACGGCCGTAAAAATGCTATAAATTGTCGTATACTGCAGTGACCATATACGAAGAAACGCAGAGAAAAATGGATGTCGTATACGAACATCATATATATGGATCCCAAAGTAATTTTCTTTGTCAATCAGCAAATTATAGTGAAGCAACTAGCTGATTAAGAGGATAAAATACACTGACTTGGTGGACAAAATCCAATTGTTATGATGAGATGAAAATAAATATATTAAAATCAAAATGAGATTAAGCGATGATTTAACATAAAAGTAATTAGCTACAGAAAATAATTCAGCGTGGGATCAAGAACAACAGGTGAAATTTTTTCTATCAACATAATAAAGCAAAGAGATATAAGATGAATCAAAGTAAACGAATAGAATTAAGAAAGTTAATACTGTTACAATGTCATGCTTCTCTTCTGGAAAAGCTTTGTTTGGAAATCTAAAATCTGTTGTATGCAATGAACTAAGAGTGGCAACCATTGATATTTTTCTCGGTGTGAAGGAGAAAAACTTTCAGTGAAAATTTCGACATCCGAAACATCAAGTTGCGGAGTAGAATAGCTACAGAAAAAAATAAAATCTCCAAATAAAAACATGTTATGTCTTAAAATCAGTACAAACGCAAGTTTGTTTTTCATACAAGTATGCTCTTTTTGACTTCAGGTACATTTGGTCGACTCAGATTCATTTTGAATAAATTTAGTAAAATCAGTACATTTCATCTTATAGCTCAATGTTAGTTTTAATTCAACAGCTATAGTTTTGCTTATCATGGAATCTCGAGTATCTGTCAATGAATAAAAACATATGTAGATGAATCAGAACAAGGTAATTGGATCAGAGATACCAAGCTTCCTGATTTGTACAGAAATGCTTTGCTACTTTTTTGCAGTCATTCTCCTGGTGCAATATTCGGCCCGCGGCTTGCAGCACTACTCTAGAAACCATTCTCAGTCAATTGGTAGCGTACAGTAAAAATGCAGACATGAATCAAAGTATGTTCTGTACTTTCACAAACTCGCACTTGCACTCATTCTATGCGTTTTTTGTTGCTATTATTATGATTACTGAAAAGAACATAAAGTGATTTTACCGACATCTATGTTGATATGTTTGCCATTGATCATATGATATACCAATTCAATTTTGAGACAGGTATGAAACGGAAACAAAACAATACCCACTTTCAAAACGTCATCCCTGTAGATTTTACTCATTCACGACTGATTTTGTTCATTATTTGTATTGAATTAATTGTATTTGTATACGTTTGTGCAGAGTCTTTGAATATAGAACAATCATCTAAATGAATTACTTCGTATTTTATGATAAGTTAGCTCTTAGATAAACATATTCATTGTATTTTAAACAATTAACAGGTAAGAATTATGAATAGAGAAGTATAGCTAAGTGGCATAAAGAAAAGAATGAGCATTATGTTCAATATTCTATATTCGCAATAAAATGATGAATTAGATTTCAATAATTATTCACATTCTAAATATCATTGATTATAATGAATATCTTATTCAGCGATTGTCATAAATAGTTTTCTTTTAAACAGAAATATTGATTCTTGTATTGAAATAAAAAACAATTTGCAAACATTGAATATTTTTGTGCATATCTAATAATACGCTTTGTATCTTGTTATATAAACTAATAAAATTGAGGGTGTTACAGCGGGTTATTAAAGAAATAATATTTTATTTAGACATTTAAATAAAAATAAAAATGCTCATTAATTAGCTTGTGTTGTTTTAAACAATTATATGCATCATAAAGTCACTATTTTCAAAGAATTCTTTTGAGAGAAGTCATTTTCAATTACAAGTCCTTGAATATGTTAAAATCTTCAACCTTTCGAAATTAGTATTCCTAGTTTAGATGAACACGACTCGTTTTGAAGTCAATCTGAAAATATGCTCTTATAGAGAAAAATATTCAGACAGTTATGAATTAATTGAAAGTTAATACAATATGAAGGCCGTGGATGTATTCATTAGAGAACATTCATATATAGAGAGATGTTTTCTTGTATGAGGAAAAAATTTTATTTTAATACAATGATTCTGCATCCTGATGTGCTCTTTTTAACAAAAAAATATAAGATGGCCATATTGACTATCTTCTCAAACATTTATTTAAATTTCAATCTTTATGACGAAAAGAATCTTTTTTCGGATGATATTAATCAGTTGAAGTCGATTGTCATATTTTTAATCTAATATATCGATGTTTCGACTTACCCTCATAAACATGAGAGAGTATTGAATGTGACGCTGTAGCAAAAACCTATTTTTTAAAATTGAGCAATACTTCTATGTTGAATGGCTGTATGTTGCCATTTGGCAACAGCCGGCCGCAAAGGGTCAAAACTTTGAAAAATTCATTTGTCGTTTTCGATCATCGAAAATCACTATTTTGCGTTCCTTTCATTTAATTATTCAAGAAAAAGGTGTAAAAAATATATATATGATACGCCTGCACAGTTTCTCCGCGATTCAAACCGACTTTTGTACGAAAAATTTGACATACGTTGAATTTAAGGAAAGAGTAGATGTATGGGCTTTTGTGTTAGCTAGCATCAGGATAGGTATTCTTGTAGATCTTTTATTTCTCTACATCCGTGCCGATACGTATATTAAATACCCATTTCCATACCAGTTATTGAGAGCTGCAATACGATCATACTGGCTTTTTTTCATAGAAAATTCCATTTAAAGCTAGGAAAAGCTATGTAAATGCACCGGATATGTTGTGTATGCTTTGTTCTTGTATGAATAAATGAAAAAACGCAAAATAGCGAATAACGATGGTCGAAACTGTAAAATGATTTTTTTTAAATGTTGACCCCTCACGGCCGGCTCTTGTCATTTGACAACATCCATACCTCTTATTGTCAGTACTCATTGAATCATCTCTTTGAGTGATACAATATACAATAGATCGAAGAGGGGAAATTTACCACTACTGACCTGTGGGATTGAATGATTGAGGGTACCATAAGAACATATATTATGATCCAGTTGTTCTTTAGGAGTATTCAGGAGGACTCCCGTAATTTTCTCAGCTGAACGCTTTTGTTTTGTTTCATAGGCTATGAGTGTGTTCTAAAATATCTTGTAGTAATTATTGAACTATTGATTCACTATCTGTTCACAGTATAGCTAGACTTTTCTTAAAATACCGGCACAATGTTGCCAAATGACAACATCCGGCCGTAAAGGGTTAACAATCAGATGTCAAACGAAGTTTCTTCTTTTGAAGGACAAATTGTGATCCATATCTTTATTTATATGATTGTATTCATACACTCGGAGTTGCCGTAAGAATTTACAGCTGTTTGATTATCACGGCAATGAAGGAGAACATGAGAATAAGAGAAAAATGTTTTCAGCGCAACCCCGTTGGGGCTAAATTGTGGAACTCATACACATTATAGACCACTTAAACAGATACAGACTCAATAGAGGGTTTTATATTTTTTAATAGAATGAGTTTCATAATGTTTTTAGGAATGAGATGAAAAAAAAGAATACTTTAACAAATATAATCTATTATATCTAAATAGTTTCAATAGAATTGAAGCTGTAAATATTAATTCTGGATAATTTAAGCGTTATATTTATTAGTTTTTTTAATGTTTTATTAAGGTAATCAAGTATATTAATTAGATTTTTTTTCATATAAATAATCTATAAATAATTTTCAATACATTTTTTAATTAAAAAGAATTGCAGATAACTTAGGAGCTCGATCTATTTTTTTGACGTTACAGATACAAAATATTTTTTATAAGAAATGTTTCATATCTATTTTTGTTTGATCTTGAAATAAAATAAATTTGAATTTTGATATTTAAACATTGTTTAACTATTTACAAAAGATATTAGTCGATTAAATATTTTACTTATTTTTAAGTCTACAGAAATTTAAAAGCAAAGTGTTTTAATACATTGTCTTGCCGTACTAATATTTAATTAGAATTAATATCTATCGTAAATTATTAATTTCTATCGTTATTTCTGTATACTAAAAATAGTAAATCATGTTTGAAAACAATGCTTAATGTTTTTAATTTGCGATAGATAATCCTTAATATATCCAGTCATAGTAGATATTGGTTGCTAATGAGTGTAATAGTAGTATACACCGGTTGCTAGCTTCTGTAATGGTAGCATACATTCGTTACTAACGTCTGTAATCGTAAAAAGATACCATACTATCGTAACTATGGACTATAATATAAAAACAACAGATTTTGAAGATTAATTAGATGTTAAATACTAATTATAATGATTTCTAATTAGTGAACATAGATTTTAATTACTGGTGTGAGCAGCGGTGAACATAGGCTATCGACCTATATCAAAATTTTATCTAATTAGCACATCTGAGTGTTATTTTTTTTTCATGTTTTCTGTCTGTAATGGAGGGGCGGGGCACAGGAGACCCGCAAAAATCTTGCACTTAAGCTTACACACTATTTTCTTCGAAAATAAATGTGAGTTGCACAAACGGAAAGAGAAGGAACAAAAAAGAAAACACAAAATAAAGTAGGGACGAGCTGAAATAGCGAGAGGCAGAGAGCACGGAAAATTAAATAAACAATCAAATGGTGGATTTCACTCAACTAAAAATTCGAGCCATTTCAGAAGCAGCGATTGATGTCCCTCACGTTTGCGTCTGACTCGCTTCATTCGAAAAAAAAACGACCTAGATGATCATTCTTATTTTTACGAAATGAATCCCAATAAAATATATCACTGTAAAAGGGGAACGATATATTGGGTTGATGCAAAAGTCTCCGCCGACTTTTTAAAATTTTCTTAAAGCCCTCTAGCGCTACTATGCATTCGTGATTTTCACATATATGATACTGCTTGTGTCGTACTATAAGATGACATTGATAGATGTCCCAGTTTATTTACATTCTTCATTAAAAGATCGTCCGAGATCTGGACGCCCACTCGAACCTGATATTGAACGATTAAAAGTCCTGATCGAAGACAATCCACGATTAACCACCCGTGAATTGCCATCAATGCTCGGGTGCAACCAATCCACCATCGATCGTCATTTGCATGAAATGGGAAAAGTTAATAAACTTGGAACATGGGTTCCACATCAACTAACCTCGGACAACATACAGCAGAGAATCACCATATGCAATTCTTTGTTGTCACAACGCAACCGATATCGATTTCTTCAGCAGATAGTCACTGGTGATGAAAAGTGGGTTCTATATGTCAACCATACGCGCACGCGCCAGTGGGTAAATCCTGAAGATTTGCCCGAACCAGAACCGAAAAACGACCTGCACCCAAAAAAGCTGATGCTATCGATTTGGTGGGACTACGCAGGGATAATCTAGTGGGAACTTCTATCTCATAATACTACGCTAGACTTGAAGTTTTACTGCCAACAGCTTCAAAATTTGACGATTGCTCTATAGGCAAATCGTCCAGAAAGACGAAAAATTCGATTTCTTTACGATAATCCAAGACCTCAAGTCTCAAAAGTTACCCGTCAGAAACTGAAAAAAATAGAGTGGGAGGTCTTACCCCATCCACCATATTCACTATATTTGGCACCATCTGACTAACATCTGTTTCGATCGCTCCGCAATCATCTGGTCAAAAAACACTTCGATGATCAAGCCCACCTAAAATCGGCCCTTGAAATTTTTTTTGTCTCTTCGTCTAAGGAATTCTTTGAAGATGGTATTCTGGATTTGCTTAAAAGATGGGTGTATGTAGTAGATAACAACCGTGTATATGTTGTTGATTGATGATATTTTGTTTCAATAAAATCTTGAAACCGAGAGGAAGAAAAAAATTGGCGGAGACTTTTGCATCAACACAATACATAAAAATTTCAAACGCGTTAAATCTTTTTCGAATGTGTTGAGATGAGGTTCATTTTTTTCTAATCATGTTTCAGCGGATCGGTTTTGCGTCTCGTATTTACATGGATAGTTCGAAATGCGTGTGAAATAGCTTAACCTCTCACAAAGTGCAGATTTCTGCTCTATACACTTTAACACTTTTTCAGATCGTATTTCACAAAAGTACGTCGTTTTTTCTTGATAAAAGAAAGCATTTGTAGAATTCTGTCTGGTATCTCCCATTGGCATCGTTTTTCCCGTTTATTTGTTTTAAAATCTTTAAAGTGCTGTTTCGCCAACGATACCACCTGCTTTAATCAATACAAGGAAGAGAAGAACAAGCAGACTTATGCCAGAAGGGCTTCCAGAGCTTTCTATCTTGCACATTTTGCTAGATTCTTCACTATAAGAAACGTTAGTTTAGAAGAATATGTGACGCATCTGGCTGATGATACTGATCACTGGTATTTCACTGATTTTATATGCGCTTCTCAAATGGGTAGATTTGGATAACATTGATTTTTTACTTAAATACGTCGTGTTTAATTCATCATCCGCGCTTTATCGTCCTAAATTTTTACGGAAAAGTTTTGTATGCGATTATGAAGCAAACACTATGGAATATCCTTGGATCGATAATCGTTCACGTTCAGCAAAAAGTCTTAAAACTTACTGTTCGAAAATTGCAAATCCGATCAAAGATTGGAAGAAAGCGACGTTGCATTTATCATTTTCACTGCTGCTTCTCTATATAGCACACGAACTGCGAGCGTACGCGACACATGGGCGTCTCGAGTAACTCATTATTATTTTCTTGCTTCAGTACCTAACTCAAATCTACCTATCACTGTCATAGAAAACATTGGCAAAGACTATACCAATCGAATACTAAAAAGATTTTTCATGGACTCCAACTAATCTACAGAAAACAACAATCATTACATGCATCGAAGCGATATATATGGTATATTTTAGTTGGTTGTGATACATACATCAATCCACCATATTTTCTCAAACAGCTGGAGCCTTATGATTTTATGCAGCCATATTTTATTGGAGGTTCTTTTGCTGAAGAATTATGTTATCATAAAAACAAAACTACTTACAGAAGTCAATTTATAGGGGGAAACTCGGCACATGTTTTCAGTACCGCATTGGTTGAAACTTTATATTCTCATTTATCACCTTTTGTGGAAACGGTTTGGCCTCAACCAAATCATTCATCCGCTGCAATGTCTGACATTGCCCTGTCATGTCTTATCATTAGTTTGGGATACAAGATGACTATACTATCTAGCTTCATGAGACGTTCATCTAAAGGAATTATCGAAGAATTTGGTCTAAAAAATGCTCTACGAGTTCGAGAGCCGAGTAGTTGGCATTATATCCATCCATTACAAATGATTGACTTGGACGAGTTTTATGCGTATCATGATGTCGATCGATTGATGAACGATCAAAAATGGATGGAATTAGTCGATTTTATTCGTCTTTTGATTGGCACTCACTATGAAACATTACGGAAGCATCAACCATTAGACTCTCACAAACTTGTAAGACATTATAAATGAAATTTTTATTTCAAGTTCTGGAATCTGGGTGTGGGTATGAATTTGGTTGGCTCGAAAAAGAGACCCACACCCTAGACTTATGAAGCGTTTTTAGATAGAATTCAATCGTAAATCCTTTTTCAAAAAGATAAAACAGAATGAAATCATTCCAAGTAATATACAATCCAATTGATTCCTGAGAGAGAGAGATAGAGAAAGACAATTATTGTAGTATATAGAAAATATATCGTGCTAAAGAGTTAATTGTATAGTGGAATACTTTTCTATTGGCTCATAAAATATTAGATTTTTGTTTATTTCCGAATCTTCACAAAACGATCGATTGACCTTGAATGAAGTCATGCAAAAATAGTACACGACACTCTTTGCTTACTATATTTCACTTGCCTTAGAAGATGTTTTTAATATTAGAAAAAGGAATCTATTTCTATTTTAATTCGTAATCTTTACAAGATTTGTTCTCCTCGATCGACGTTGAACCTTTGAAGAAGAGATAACTGTCATTGAAATACTTGAAAGATTAAATTTTTAATTATTTATAGTATATCATCTACGTATATTTGAACTATTAATTCAATCAGGTAATTACAAATGAAGCAGTAATCGGCTTGTCCACGTAACGCACTGCTTCGCTGACAAAATTTAAAATTTTTTTTTTTTTATATAGACAGATCTAAACCTATTTTCTGGTACAGTTTTTTACGCTGATTGGGAATTTGGACTTTTTTCTTTAAAAAAAAAGGGTTTTGGCATCGAAAACTAGGTTTTAAAATTTTCAAAAATCGTATTTTCAATTTTCTAACCAAAAACTTTAAAACAAAAATGCAGAGTAATATACCCTTCGATGCACAATTTGATTCTCTACAAAATAGCCTATTAATATTTTACTCTCATTCTACAGGGCATCTTCTAAGCTCTGTTACAATTTCTAACTTACTATACAATTATTGAGCCCGTATTTCGATGTAGCAACTTGATTTTTTACAGAAGGATATATGCAGGACAGTGATCAATATATATAAGCATTAAATATTTTTAAGTATGTTAAATGCTTCAAATTTGGTCGACAAGAAAACGTGTCACAGCGTTGCGTTTGTTTTTTGTATTTTTTTATCTGAGCGAATAGAGTTTAGAAAAAATATGTTTTACTGCTTGAAATCCTATTTAATTCTCTACAAAACTGGTACCATAAACATTTCATTGGAAGAAATAATTTGTCAAAAAATTAGAGTTTTATAAGCAGCCATAGAAGAATAGGGTCCTTTTTTATCACAGTATTACGCGATGATAAAACCGTTCTAGAAGCGCGAGAGTTCAGTGAAACTAGGTCATTCTTTCAATATAAATAGGGCATGATAAGCTGCGTCGAACGACGTTTGAACGACCTTATTAACTCTTATGCCTTTCGAGATAACTGCAAAAGAATTTGCCAAAATGTCATAGCATTACGTTTGGACAAACCGTAATATAGATAGATTCCCAGAAATAAAAATCTATTCATTATTTTATCTACTTCTCCTAGCTTCAAGGTCTATGTTTAGTCTTTATATGGGTGGTTATTATAATAGCTACATACACTAATGCATAAATAATAGATGGATGTGCTAACGAGAGAGGCTCACCAAGTGTTCAATCATTTTTGGGTTGAAATTACTTAGATTATGTAGCTCCCAAGGAGTTATGAATACGCTAAAAATATTTTGGGCGAATAGATAATGAAAATATTCATCAAGCGAGTACGACCTGCCCGCATGAGTACACAAAAGACTCGTTGGAGTACTCGTGAAGTTCTCTGTGTATCTTTAATGTTCGTGTACTCAAGTGAGTACTCGCATAAGTTAACTTTCTGAAATTCACTCGTATGCGATAGTCTGAGTACTCAAAGTAGTACTCGATTCTGTGTTTCGATAAAACACCAATGCATTAACATGTAAAAAGTTAAATAAGATTGTATAAAAACAAAAGTAATGAAATTAATTAAAAAATATTAACGAAATATTTTTGTGAATATATTGATTCCATCTTTGATGTTTAGTAGATGATTCATTTTCTGTTTATATAACGATTGGATATATCAAATCAATTATATTTCATTTTGTGAACAGAAATACATAGATATATACATACACTTTTTATTTTCAACTGCTCAATTTTCGAATAAAGCAAAGTATGTCTTTTCAATGTGAATAAACAATAATCTGATAACTTTTAATTTCTAAATTTCAGATAAAATTTTGTTTCAGATTAGTTAAGCTTTTTTCTGGTTGCTAAATAGCATCCATGGTTCATGTCAGGAAGTTTCTTTTTTTTTATAAGGGTCGCTTTAACATTGAACTACTTTACATACAAGAATCGAATCAAAAAACTATTTAATAATTTTTAAATTAATTGTTCGTGCTATTGAGTGCTGTATCGTAACAAATTTTAGTATTCTTTTTTCTGTAGTTTTTTGTATCTGTGAATTCATAGTGATCAAATATCCTTTTCGAAAACATTGAGCATTCATTTGTCTTGAATGATATTTTATTGTCTTCTATGTGTGTTAAGTGTTGTTTTTTGAAACACAGTATTTATTTATGTAATTTATAGACAATAAAATACTAAAATATGTTAGTATTATAAATCATTTCATTGTACTAATATACCCATGAAATGCCTAGTNTTGGTTTTCTCGTTTCGTTTGGTTTGTTTATTATTAAGTAGTTATCGTTTTTGTCAATAAAGAGAAGGGTGAAGATATCACCCCTAATCGGGGGGGGGGCTAAGGGGTAACTGTGGGTGTGGGTGAAGGTATCCTGAAGGGGTGCAGAGGGGGAGGGTATCCGGGATACTTCAAATGTGAGTGCGGGTGATGGATACCATGGAGGAGTGGTCAAATGTGGGTGCGGGTGAAGGGTGTATATGTATTCATATGTCGCATATATTGGAAAGTTAAACTAAAACTAAATCTATTCCTAGATTTAGTTATAGTTTAACTTTTTCTTTTCTCCATCTACATATCTTCGAACTCGAATTAGACAGCTACTCTCACGTCAGAACATTCGAATATTGATTTTCGAATTTTGACTTGAAGTTTTATGTAGCAATACATCTCAACGAGAGTAGTGTTTTTTTTGAATGTTTTTGATCATTGAATTTATTTGTTTCATTAAATCTGCTACTTCGTTTGAAAGATGTACAATAAAAATTTCACAATACCCGTGTCTAACGATAGGAATAGTAGAAAGGTCTGAAACGTTCACAAGAAGTTGTTCTCCGTAGCGAGTCTTTCTATGAAAAGTTTCAAGTAAAAATTCGAACATCAATTTTTTAATGTCCCTGGAGCGGGGGGACAGAGACTCAAAAAAGCTCATACCTTAGAAATGACCTAGTTTCATCACAATAAGCTTTCCGCCTTAAATATTTTTAGCGTATTCATAACTCATCGGAAGCTACATAATGTAGGTAGTTTCAATGCAAAAGCGATTGAACACTTGGTGACACTCCCTCGCAAGAGTTGTTCTTTTTAGAGCTTTTCAGATACTGAACTGCCCAGGAAGAACAATCCGACAGTCGGATCCTAGCGGTAAATTATCGAATCCGATGGGGTGAGTTCGACCTGGGGGATGTTTCCTATTTGATGTATTTTTGTTATGAGTACTTTTAAACTTTGCAAAATAAGTCTGAATGAATTATTATTATATTGGTTTTTTTTCTTATTAAAATAGGACATTCATTCGAAAGGTTTTCTAGATTCGTTTGATGCATAATTCTGCGCATTTATCTTGCCGATAGAATCGATTTGTTGTTCCACCACAACCTGAGTACATAAATGGAATACATTGACGTTGTTTTGCATCATAAGTGAAAAGTTTTATTGCTTTTTTACATGGACCTGCTACAGCCATTTGTGTATTGCAACTAGGAGTGTCTAGAAATAATTGACATACAAAAGAAAAACTGATATAATTTTAAATCTATCATACAAATTCTAGATGGTGTTGATAGAAAGCAAATCTGTTTTGTTGCACATTGAGGGAATAATCGAAATGTTCCGTTTCTTGTACGACAAATACGTGTATGGTTTTTATCGTGCATTGGTTTTGGTCTACATTGTTCAAGTGAAAAGTTGTTTTTAAGAGAACTCGGCACACACATATGCCACGATACATCAATTCCATCAACAGTATCAAAATGAATACAGCTACCACCAATAAATGGGCAACATCCACAATGGCCAGCTAATCCAACACCTGACGAACATTGAGAATTGTCAATGAATTTTATTGACAGAAAAATGCATAGTAAAAACAATATTGTTCGCATGTTTATCAATCAGTATGCATGTGTTTCTATTGCCTATTATTAAATTTTTCAATACGAAAAATGATACGATAAGATAAAAAGAAGAAACGAGAAATTAAATCGTCTCAAATTTTTTCATGAGATTGTTTTTTCTATATAATATCTAAACGATTATTTGGTCTCAAAATATTTTACTTTTTTTTTTCAAATACATCCTTTTTTTTTCTTTTTGTTCTTCATCAACACTGAAACAAAAAGTGAAAAATAAAATAAAATAAACACTCATGCATAAACACGAAGAAAGAAGAAGAAAAAAAAGAAGCTCATTGACATCATCAGTTTGATAAAGAAAAACGAAAGATACAGCAAAACAAACCAGAATGAGAGGGATAAGTAGAAGAGAAAACGAAAATGTTTTATTCTTTGTATAGAGCTAATACTAAAATTTCATAATATGATGATATTTGCGCATGAATACAAATATGGTCACTATTATTTACTCATATATTTCGTATGACTGATATTCGACTAGTTCTTTAATTAAAAATAAACAAACATATCACAGTAGAAAATAGAAATAAACATATGAGATCTTAGTTTATTTTTTATATGACTAGATTCTATTGCATAGAGGGATAAAAACAAATAAGTTTTCTTTTGACTAGGAATAGATGATAGACTTCCTGAGAATATTCAACTATTTTTATTTTCCCCATATCTATTTTTTTTCTTGCTATTTATTACACAAATATCCCACCATCAGTATCTTGTGCTCGTTTGAAAGCATCCCATAATGCAACCATTATTTCGCCCATAACAACATCGTTTGTATTCATTGCAACAAGACGCAGGACAAGTACACCATCGTGTCTTAGGTATTTGCTTGAAAATGTATTAAATAATTTTCTATCAAATGTTTCACGTGTTATACGATTCATTATTTTAAGATATTTTTTTAGAAAATGTTCACGATTAAATGGTAAGATTTGTTGCCATACACACATTATAAAACCGTATGAAGATAAAATAGAAACAATGACAAGCCAAAACCATATGAATATGAAGATTTTTTCATTAAATAAATTCACGGGAAGCACGCACTAAAAGAAAATATAGAGAAGAGTTTGATGGTGTTTGTTTTTGCTTTGTCAAAAAAAGAAAAACTACCTGTATAGTATGTTTATGTATATGATCTGCCATAGTACGAATTTCGAAGTCACACATTGTTACTCGAGGAAATCGTGCTGAACGGCAACATTCACGACCTGACAACAGATTTCTTAATACTTCAATACCATAACCATGATAATTTGAACCCATAAAGATCTATGAATATCAAAAATAGAAAACAAAAAATGTCCATTGATGAACTTACATTCAATAGAAATAATTGTCCAATAACATTGGCTATATACAATAATTTGACAAATAAATAGACAAACGTTAGATAATTGCCTTGAGCACGACCGATAATAAAAACTGGACAATGCCGACGCATAAGACGTTTAAATTGGGAAAAAAATCCTGTGCCCATTTCACGTTGTATTTCAAGAGCACGATCAATATGTTTAGCAATATATCTGAGTGTACGATCTCTGATATCGGGATTTAACTGTTCCATACTGTGTAGTGTTTTTACAAGATTAGCTATATCGAAACCTGTCTTTGTGGCAAGTGCATGCCATAGAACAGAGGGAATGTAGAAGAGCACTGACATGAGAAGTAGAATAAATGGGATCCATTGATAGTAAGCTTTAAAAAAAGCAAGACAGAATAAATAATTAGTTATGATAAATAACACAAAATAAAAGAAAGAAATACACACCGATATGTTTTGGACGTTCGTCATGCCTTGATGGCAATGTGCTCTCGAAAGGAACATAATAAGTATTGGATATCCAACAGATATAATTGGCATATTCAACATGAGAACCTAAAAAAATGGATTTGAACTTCTCTTATAGAACTCTAAATGTTAAAAGGATATGCTTTTGGGAATATATATATATATATATATATATATATATGGCATTTAATTTTCTGGTAACTTAGCTGGATACAATGACATTCACTAATCACTGTCCTAGTGAGATTATTGATAGTAACTGTTAGAAGCACAGAACAAATCAAATTTACACCTATCGATAGTACTTTGGCAGCTCTTGTTTATAGAATATTTAGTTGTTACTATTCTCGCTTCATTCTTGAGTAATCATGCAATAGTAGTTTTCTTTGATTGAACTATTTCTGTATGGCATTGAAATGCGTGTATACTCATAGAAAATGGCTAGATCTATAAGCCTATACAATTTGACAGATTTGAATGAATTTTCGGCAAAATTATTCAATCGTATATGCCCACTTGCGTAATTATTTTAGCTGATGAGAGAAACTACTTTTACGTTGAATACAAGTAATCAGATATCGATTTGATTTTAATTACGTTGACTATATATCATAGTTTTATGATTGCTTGCAAGGTTTCGTATAAACTTCATTGACTAGCTATAAGATATCATCAAATTTAATGAACTGTAGAGTTTCTTTGACTGAAGACTTATGAGTTTTAAGGAGAAAAATCGTTAACTATAAGAGTTTTTTCATTAGCAATGCATTTGGAAAGTTTTACATTTCAGCGACAGTAACCATCAAGTTAAATAAGAGTTTTCTATCATTTTCCTTTTCGGTCGTGAGCAATTATTGTGATCCTTACGATTGATTGGATGCTCTATGCTTATACAATAACCATTTTAACACAAATTACGATACCTTGAATGCATCATCAAACTGAAGGAAATTCGTTAAGTTCTAAATGTCATAGATAGTCATATAGAAAGATCATATCTAGATTCATCTGTCTAGCACTTACGCGAAGTTTTACTTTGGTATCTATTTTGATCAAACAAAAAACAAAAAAAAATCTATTGAAGTTATCCATTATTAGTAAAGATACTAAAGTGAAAGTTTTCTTCTTCTTTTGAAGATGAAGAAAATCATAAAACATTAATTGTTCTGATAAATTACATTATCATACTTTATTTCTTAAATGAGAACACCTACCGGTAAACTGTGCAGGAGCAAAACAAGCAATCGGATCGCCAACATATTGTTTGGTAGATACGACAACAGTAAATAACATCAGTAAAACGACAGAAAATCGTCTGGATAGTCGGTCATATAAATCGTCATCGTTATGAAATTTAAATTGGCGTACTTTGGCTATGGCATCGAGAAAGCCTGCTACCATGCTAATTATAGAAAATAAAAATAAAAATGATATTATTATATTCAATACAGTAGAAAACTCACTGATCCACGTGCTCACTATACTGATGAACGTGGCCAAAAACCTCAGATAGTATCATGATAGATATAGGGAAATGTCTTCTTCCTCATCCTCATTCTCGTCATCATCAGTTTCTCTTACTCATGGGTATTATTATCAGAGAGAACAAGAGAAAATGTCATATTATTAGCATTGTTAGTGAACAGATTATTTGAGAGTAGTAAGGCAAATCTCTTTTCCCCTCAATTCGCTTTCATAGAACAGAAAAAGATAAGATCCGACAATGATCATTATCATCACTGGATATGATTTTGCTTCATTGCATTTTGCTTCATGTTGTCTTTGGCCCTTCTCCTCCTCCCCATTTTTCTTTCATTCGGTCTCATGTGACTGTCTTCTCATCGGAGTGTTGTTCGTGTTTTTCCCATAATCAATACTAAAACATGCCATAAGTTCTATATAAATATCGATATCTCGAAAAACTAATTGTTATTATAATATTATTTCCTACTGTGATCAAATCACGTATGTGTATATATTAGAGAGCTCGTTATCTATTTCGCTAATGGTAGATTAAAGCCATTAAGAAGTGTGAAGAATCCATTAGTAGATTTTTCCAAATAGAAAAGAAAGAAGAGAATAGAAGGATACTTATTTTACCAATATTGTTGTCGAAGAGGACCATGATGATCAGATATCATTGTAGATGATAGCGCAATTTTCTTTCTTTCTTTTTTATTCAATCGCTAGATCTAATAATCTCATTAGAAATAGGTGAATGTGAGCGTGATGGTTGCATTTTTACTTTTTACTTTTTTACTTCTTTTTTCTCTTCTTCTTCTTCTTCTTCTTCTTCTTCTTTTTCTTCTTCTTCTTCTTAAAACTGGTAAACTTATTCAAAAAGTAGTTTAGCACACTCATACTTCAATATGTAGAAGAAGAAAAAGAAGACGAAGAAGAAGAAAGGACGAATGAAACTATGATCATCTCTCCATTTTTCTTCATTATTACACATTATCTATGCAAGCGTATTTAAAATCCCATGCAAGTTTTATTTCTTCTCGTGAAAATGAAAGTGAATTTATATATAGACATATGTGCGTATGCGTGCAACTGTCATTAGACAGTTTCTTCAAGTAAAGACGATGAAACTGACGACTTTATTTTCAATGAATACTATAATAGCTCCCATGTAAAAAAATATTGGATTAATAATCAGATTAAAAATCTATTATAATGGCACTATTTTAATCTGATTTTTCACCCTCAAACGGCAGATTATTTTTTATTTTTATTTTATTTTATTTTAATCGATTATAATAGTTTTATAGGTAATCAATTAAAATTAATTAAAATAAAATCAGAAGCAAAAATTGATCTGCCTTTTAAGGTTGAAAAATCTGATTAAAATCAGATTATAATAGTGTCGTTAAAATAGATTTCTAATCGCATAAACGTCACTTATAATCAGATTTTTTGCGATTTTGCTTTACATGGGAGGTATTGTAATACAAGCAACTAAGGAAAAGTCTTAGCGGAAACGTTGCTTGATTGCTAACTTCTCTTTATGTTAAACAGGTAAATGATTTAATTTAACGTAATGAAAAGATTTTTTGCCTTCACTTACCTTCGTTTCTAACTAATTGAATTGCTTTATTAACACTAGAAATCTTTTCATTGATGTAAAAATTCTGTTTCCTCGTTTTGAAACTGAGAAGTACTAATTTTCCCTACTATATGTCTCCGCCTCTCGATTAATGATGATTTATCTTTTTTCTCTATGTATTCGACATATGCCGCTATTCATTTCCTTTTTCGATCAGCTCAACAATTTTTTTCATTAATCCTTTGAGAAGATCTTTCTCATTTCTCTACTATTCTTCTTTCTCTTTTTTCTTTTTTTTTTTCATAGTAAACATTTACTCTTAATTTCACACCTTTCACTTTTTCTCATATTTCATTCATTTAGATGCACACTACGGTGAATTATGTCATTCTTTTTGACACCTCCCGATGAGTGACTAACAAAAAAAACCTATCTATACAGATCATATTCTCCCAGTGCTATGTTCCGATTGGATTGCTTCTTTTTTTTTGAGGGAACAGCTACAAAAATTTTTGCTATAGTGTGATTTTTCTTCCGACACGAAAAAAAGACAAAGCACTATCATGGGAAATATTAGAAAATTAGGAGAACTTTGTTTTATACTGTTGGATTAAAATTTCTTCATGATTAACATTGAAAGAGAGAGAGAGAGAGAGCTCTTGATAGGAGTAGCACTTTCTGCAAAATTATGAATATTTAGGTAAGCCAAAGAATCTTACCTGTGAAAACGGTAAAGCATGATTATCAGATATGTAGAAAATGACTAGTAAGATAGTATTCTTGACAATAGAACTCATTTACTTGACATTTATCAATATGGGATTGGTTTTGGCAAAATAAATGAAATAGATAAGAGGGTGAATTGAGATAAAATGATCATAGGATAGAGGAAAACTCAATCTATTTAGTGTTAATAGTTTCCATCATTGCCTCTTTTTTTTATCAATTTCTTTTCCCATTTTTTTTCCTTTCTAGTTCTCTATTTTTTGTCATTGACCCGACAGGGTATATAGCTTTGTGTGCATGTGTGTTCTAGACATGGCACATAAATACGCGACTTAGAGCCAGAGACAAAATCATTCTAGTTCAACTGCTTTCATAGGCATAGTGATTGGATCGGTTCTGGTTTTTCTCTCCATCATTTCTCTCTGTCAATTGACAATAAAGCAAATCTGTTTCATTATCGGGGAAACTCGATTGAACAGCATGCCTAGACGCACACATAGATACTAAATAAAAAGAGCATCCAAATATACACACAAACAGCAATCAATATACCATGCAAATAGAATCATCTAATAAAACTCTATTAGTTGAACTATTTGAAGGTGGGTTTTCTTTGTTTCTTTTTATTTTTTATTATCATTAAATGAAAATAAAATAGTTTTTGTTTTTCACTCTTTTGGCTCTCATTGAAATAAGAGGAAAATATTTATTTAATTGAACTTGTTGTTCACGGATTTATATGCGATGCGCAAGTGAAAGTGAAAAACTCAAAATAATGAATCTGTAGTTTCTATAGAACCATTCAAGGTGTAAGTGTGCGAATCTATAATTGCAGAAGTGCTTTTCCTGTACGCTTTCGCTCAAAGCCTTTCCTGTTTTTCGTTCCCGGAAACACGTCTGGAGGTTTTTTCTTCTTCTTCCCAATTAAGATCATACTCAAATTTGACTTTAAATTTAAAATAAAGTCATCTTGTTTATGAGTATACACGTAGATAGATGTCGAGATTAGAACCTATTCCAATGTCATTACCTGCCTTCTTTTTTCCTTCTTTCTTGCAGTATAATTACATTATGTAGTTCATTTAATAAGAGGAAGCTTTTCATGTATTAGAAAATGCACACAGGTATCTCTCTTTTTCTTTCTGTTTTTAATGTTGTCATGAACTGCTAATTATAAAAGGAAAGTTCTTTTCGCGAACAAAAATAAATATTAATCAAAAATATCTGAATTTTTTATTTGTATTATTAGCCGAGAGAATAGAAAACATTAGTTCCGATTATGCCATAAAAAAAAACTCATTCTAAATGGCTTCGACAGTACAAATAATGAACCCGTCAAAGTAAACTATGATTTCTATTTTGTGACCAGTTAATCAAACAGACAGCGATCGTGTCGTTTTCTTAATTGTCTCTAGTTATTTTCTTGTGTTGCTGCCGATATTTCCCGGGCTATAGCCGTTCATCAGTAGAGATAATAATGAAGGCAAAAAATAAAAGAAAACAAATTGATGAATACCTAATTAGGAAACCGTACATATTCATCATAGTATAGGTCAGTGTTTCAATGAAATGTCATAGGTTGTCATCTTTTTATCATATTATCTCGAATGACAAAGATTTCTCTATTTGTTATTAACAACAGTACAAGTTACGTAAGAATATAATTAAAAAGAAAAAAGATGAGACATTGCAAAATTACTCACACAGACGTTCGAGCCGAAAATGTATGCATGTTTTGATTTGTTCGTTGGTTTTGCGTTCAACTTAGTTTAGATTTCTAAGATTTTTTAGATTAATGACGATGTCATTCTAACATCGTTTCTTCTTTATCTATATATATTTAGTAGAAATCTTTTTTTTTCGTTTTCTTTTCCTTTTCTTGATCTTACTGTTGCCAGACGTTTAACAGCGACGATGACATCGACTGGTGTTGATGGATGAAAGTGTATATAAGTATATGATGAGAGAAATGTGACAAAAATTGCACAGACAATAGCACGCACTTTTTCAGAGCATGCAGCACTAGTGCAACACATATATGAGAAAGGAAGAATACATGAGAAGCGCCTATGCCGTTACCATCAAACGTCTTGTTCACACACAAAGAAAACAGTGCCGCGCAAATTTCCTCCTTTCTATTTTTTTCTTCTTTTTTTTTCTCACATGTTATCTCGTCAATTTTCACTACTACAATTCCTTATTACTGATCGATGCGTGTGAGAAAGCATTAATAGCATTAATAGCATTAATAGCATAGGCTACTTGTTCTCTTTTTATCTTTTGTTCTGCTTTCTCAATCTGCTTTTTTCCTTTCACACTCATGTAGACTGTTGTACACAATCAAATGTTATTATTAAACAAAAAACAAGAAGAGAAGAAGCATTAAACCAGAGAGAGAGAGAGAGAGAGAGAGATGATAGAGAAGATGGGGGCATCGTGTAGACACATTTTCACTGATGTACAATATTGTTAATTAGTTAGTTTCTCTATTTGCTTACCTGTCACCTCCACTGATGAATTCGCCAACTTTAAGGTCGTGTAATTTACTCGGTCGAAGTTCAAGATCAAAGTGTTCTATACGATCAGGTTCTTCGTGGCCACGTTTACCAACAGAACCACTTAATTGTTTTGTCCGAAGATTGGAGATACTAGTTAAGCTAAAATCATATTAAAAAATAAATCATATATTACAATGAAATTAATGATCGTGTTGTATATTTTACCGCTGGATTTCAGCCCGTTTCTGACGAGGAGCCTTATTCATGAGCTCTAAACAAGTAAAACGAAAACAAAAACAAACAGATAAAAAACAAGAATCAACAAAGATAATTATGATTCTAGAAATCTGAGAAAATCATACTTGCATTAATGACATGTGTGAATATACCAAAATGAAAGAAAAAGAGCTTTGAAAGACTTTTGCACTATACCGGAAAAAAAGGATAATCGTATGTTTATAGACATAAGGAAACAGCACACAGTTGAATGCTTATTAGACCTTGAAAAGACAGTCTTAAGATAAAATATAATAATGATAATTTCTGATTTTATTTTCTATCACTTCACTTGATCGCTTTCGATCATGTTGAAAAAAAGAGAAACACCTACTGTTACCACTTGGCAAGAAAGAAATTACATATGAATATTCAACGCTACACGTTAGTTATTCATTTTCACCTTAGATTAAACTCCATGGAAAATCGTCACAATCATAATTATTGAACAATATTCAAAATGCAACGATTCCATTCTAATTATTAAAATTCTTCTTTTTCATTTCATAACTGCTGTTTCATTCTAATCAATTATTCAATAAATAAAATAATGATGACCATCATTATTCTAACAGAAAATCATTCCAGCTAAAATCTTTCTTTCTTTTTTTCTGGGTATTTCTGTTAACAATGTTTGAAAAAGGACAAAAAAAAAGAAATTCTTGATCCAATCATTGAATTCTCATTTTGATTTTTTATATCATTAAATATAGACACATTTATAATTGATTGCATTCTGTCGGTTTTTTTCTTCTTATTTTTTTAAGTTATAAAAACATATCGTTATAAATATAGACTAACTTTTCTAGTGATAATAGAGTATTGGTGCTGGTTTTATTAATTTTTTTCTCCGTTTATCAAAAAAAAAAGAAATCTTAAATATATGCAAGTGTTATATCAATCGACTTCAAGTAGCTTTTTCCTTTTCCATACTATATAGATGCGGTTTCAATTAAGTAAGAATACTGATGTCCGTTGAAACGGAGCAAGAATCTCATTTTACGTCTCTATAGACCGTGAATGACATATTGAGTGGGTCGCAAACACTTCGTTATCCATTTTTATACTCTTAAGGCTCTTTTTCGTGCCTTGCTTCAACAGAATTACTTTCTTATATATTTTATTTCGACTCATCAAGTTAAAAGTAATCATTAAGAAAAAGGCAATTTAAGATGGCCGTATCACACGGAAAGAATAATTGTATAGCCACTTATAATAAAAACAACATCGCAAAAAAAAACAGTTTTGCTCGTTTTTTTTTGCTCACTATTTTTTTTTTGTTCAGTGACCGATGCCGTTTTTCTTCGTTCCTTTTTTCTTCTCATTTTTCTTTCTAATCTAATCGCTAACTGATGCCGTTGTTTGTTGCTGTTACTGCTACTGCTACTGCTACTACTACGTCTATTGCGGTTTCCTTCTTCTTGTGTCCTTCGACTTCACGTTGTGATTATTGTAGTATATGCGTGCGTGTGTGTGTGTGTGAGTGTGAGTGCATAAGCGTTGTTTGTTGCACACATTGAACACGAGAGTCATGATCATGGAAAAAAGAAATGAAGAAAAAAGAAGAAAATAACAGGCTCGAATGCGTGTGCACTTGCAAGTTTCGAAAATTAAAGTAGGCTTGGCCAAATCAATATAACTTCAATCTATTCTCTCTGTGATTATAACACTATAATACTTAACACTTCTTTTAATATTATTCCATTAAAAATTATTGAATAAGCCTTAGCAAATTCCAATTTGTTATGATGAATAAACATAGATATAGGCGGTTGGACATACCTTTTGTAATAATCTGTAGGCGAAGAAAGAATAACAATTTCATATCGAACTCATGCTCATTTTTTTTCTGTCAGCGGTCAATCACGATAATGATCAGGCAGACGAAAATAAATCTGACAACATGTTAATAAAACAAATGAAGTGGTTTGATAATCAGTTAATAACAATAATAATTGTGATTGCTCTTCCATGTGAATTTGCATTAATAATATTGTTTATTGTTCTTGCTGCCCATCACTTGATCGATGTCGTATAATATGTCGAAAGAAAGGAAAGAGGAAAAAGAAGAGAGACAAAGAAGATGAGAATCGACTATATAATCTACAAGGATCGAGCATATTATAGTACGATAAAACTGAAGCTCATTATTACTATTATCATCAGCATCATCATCAACATAATCTTCGTACGTTTCGCCGTTCATTCGTTCTATTTTCTCGCTTTCTCTATATTCTCTTGTCGTTAGAGTGTATGCGTGCATACTCACGAACCCATGGCTGCTTTTCTCTCGTCGAGCTAGTCAACGAGCGAGCGAGCGAGCAAACAGCAGATAGATGAAGGAAAAAACAGAGAAAGGGAAAAGAAAAAGTGTTGTTTGGATAAAAATCTCAAAAAAAAGAACGTTGCCGTCGTTCTCGTTGCCAGCTATTGCACACGCACACAAATGAAAACAAGGAAGGGTCGCGTTTCTTGTTATGTTCTGGCTCTACACCAACCATTCATCATCATCATCATCATCGTCATCTTGAGAAGAACGAGTTCAATCTTTCACATATTGTCATTTCCTTCCGGATTAGAGCTAGTTGGGTCACTATTTCTCGTTCATCATATTTTCTGTCCAATATATTACTAATATATATATATATATATATATAAGGTCAAGCGTGTGCAATGCTTTTTTTGCACACATACTTTCAATGCTCATACAATATATGTAAATACACATGAAATTAAAGAGCAAAACCTAATTTTAGAAGCCTCATTAAAGAGAAATTATTCCATCGTTCTCTAGTGATGCGGAATATCAATGTTATATTACAGAAATTACTTCAAATGCAATGTCTAATCCAGATAGAGTACTTTGCAATATAATAATGATGCACAGATCCATATGTGAACACCTTATGGTTAATCGAACGCAAGTCAAATAGAGGAGTCGAATACGAAGGCGGAAAGTTCTATTATTTGATAACAATTTTTTTTCCTAGTATCCCAATAGTTTGGTCAAATTTCTATTTGTTTGAGATCAACAATAAAACTCAACTTATGGTTATGTGTATTCAAAGATAGAATAGAGGAAACAAGAATAACAGTAGAAGAGAAAGCTGCAATAGATGAGTTTGAGCAACCGATCGGAAAACAAATCATGAAGCAACCATCAACAAAACTATTGTGAAAATCTCGTGTGAGCATTTCAGTATTACGCATCGAGTCATAGAAAGAAGGAAAAGAAAACGAAGTGTCCACAAACTCATGCTAAATATTCAAGGTTACCATATGATCCCATAAAGGTTGTGTGTAATTCTCAAAGGAATTGAACGACAGCATACTCTATTATAATACTTTAAATTGAACAGTATGCAAAAATATAAATATATTTTTTTCTTTTTTCTAGAAATTTTTAAGTGGTCAATTGAACAACTGCCACTTGTCCTTGGCTTTCAAGTATTTAACAGAAACTTATATATATTTATATTTGCTTCTAGTTTCTTTTTATTTACAATCGATGCCTATATATATATTTAGCGAATCGTACATTGGAAAATACTTTATGGACTATGTCTATTTGTTCATAATAAAAGCCAAAAATAAATATATTTTAAGCTGATCGAATGTGTTTTATATTTTTATATAAACGATAGCAAATGTAAAATAGTTGTTTTCTTATTTGGATTAATTTTCTCGTTTTTGATAAAACATAAATATTTTTAATTTTTAGCCAATTATATTAATGTAATCTCAAGGGACTTTAACCTACGTTTATGAATAAGAATAATATTTAATCAGAAAAACGGGAAAAAAAGTGTTTCCAATCAATAATATATTAGTATTTCAGAACAATATACTACATGAATAACTAACTATACGCCCTATCATATACGGTAGTCATCTTTAAAAGTTTTTTATGATGTCGTACTAAGCCTTTCGGGAGAAACAAAAAGTTGGTAACTCGACCAATGTTGATTGTCACACAGACCCAAATCCTATTCATCTATTGAGGATTGTTGAACAATTTTTTTTAAATTAAAAAGTTAATGAACAACGACTTTAGCTTAGGCGACCCGCTAGTTTGTATAATCCATGTATGACGCGTCTTAGATTAACATTATAAGTATTTTTTTCTGTAACGAAGAAGGATAAAGAGAAAGCTAAAGAAGAGAAAAAAAATCTTTCCGCATTAGCATTTGTCAATGGTGCAATACTTTTGGCAATCATATCGTTATTAACTAAATTAATAATAAATCAGTTTGTTTGATACGGTAACGAAAGTTAAATCGAGAATTAATTAAATGAGACATATGTTTAATCGAATATTTTGTATATTATACAAGTTGGATTTGTCAAAAATAAATGCAAAAGAAGAGTAAATTTGAGAATGACATTGTTTATTTACAGTATCACATTTAGATATATATATATATATATATATATCGTTGATCAGTAATACATCATTCACCATGTGGAAGAAAAAGAAACCCTCCTGTGTCAAGAGCTTCTTATGTTAACAGTTTGTCAGAACGATAGAACATCATTAGTCAATGTTATTATGTTGAAATGTGCTGTCAATTATTGTATCGACTACTATATCTGTATTATGAAGATTGAGAAGGCATTAATAATAGACAAAAGAAGAAAGTTTGTATGGAATATTAGCCTGTTAATTGTATCAACAGAAAATGAAGAAAAGCCGATAGTTTAAATTATGTCTTACTATTACTACGACTATCCTTTTCTATTGACGGATGTTGAAGATGACAGTCCGATTTTCCATGCATGTAGGAGTTAGAATGAAAAAAGCTAATTGCTTCTCTGCGACAACTTCAATATGCAATTATGCTGATGTTTTGAAGTGAGTGCATAAATAGAAAAACTTCATAATTTTCTAATTCTTAAAAAAAGAAAGAATAAAATAAACAACGATCGATCATATATATATATATATATGAATCCATACTAGAACAAACAATAGTTTCATATTTATCAGAAAAAAGAACTAAACTTTAATCAAGAGACACAAAGTATTCATTGAGACAACATGAACATTCTTTTGATCGCCGCACATTCTTTATCTCATAAATAGCACAATTCTTTGAGAGTATGACAGATAAAAGACAAGACAATATGAGCGAAAATATTCATCAATAACTTAAAGTAATAAAGCGCAAACAACAACAACAACAGCATAGTAGAACAAAAGATCTGAACATCTTATAAGACAAAATTTGTTTCTATAGAATTTTTTCTCTACCGATTCATGTTCATTTATTTTGCTTATTTTTTGAATATCAAATAAAACTAGCTATCTAATTAACAGTTAGATTCATGATTGAAATATGCATGAAAAGCTCTAATTGATAACATCAATCTATGTTAATTAGCGAGAACTGTTAGAATTGAAAAGACTAATCAGGCAATAGGAATACTGTTTTCTGTTTATTCGCAGATTATAGAGACGTGTGGGGATGAATGAACACTTTTCCATAGCTTTAATTAGTTTATCTATATTATTTTTTTCTTCACCTTAACATAAGCTGAATATCAATAGCTTGGTAAGTGTCGAATTGATGCAAGAAAAACGGAAGTCCTTCTGGAATTATTATTCACATGGCTGATTTCTACCAAGTTTTTCAAGGATAGTTTTGATAGCACTCAATAAAATGCATCCGAAAGATACTTAGCAACCATTAAGAATTTGCCGCTAACTAAGTAGAATCATAAAAATCAAAGTTTAGTTTGGTCCTAAATCCAATATATATATATATATATATATATATATATATAGTACGTTAATGACATTAGGAAACCTTTGAAAGAAAAAGTTTCATTGCTTCCATACCACTCAATAGTGATGAAAAAAGAAAAGAAAAATACTAAGACAACAATATACCTTGTTTATCAGCATCATTGATTGAAGTCTAGATCCATTATTATTTTATTTTGGTGCATATAGATGATAAAATTATATTGCTTTCCTTTTTTGTCTCGAATAACTGACATACAAATAACTTGCCTAAAAAAGAATGGTGACACCTTTATTCTTGCGTGTATAGTCGACCGTTATGCGGATTATCTTGTTAGCTGCCTCTCTGTCTTTCTTGGTTGCTCTCTTTCTCTTCCCTCTCCGTCTCGCTTTCCTTCGTTTCCTTGCTCTTGACTCTAGCTTGTTCTTGCTCGCTAACAAATAATATACGAGTACTTTTATGAGGTGTCAACTGAATCAATAACTACTTACTGTATGCATACAGGACCATTGATAGTAAAATCGAAACGACCACGCGTGCATGTTGGAATTGAACTGCACCAAGAAGAAGAAGAAGAAGAAGAAGAAGAAGATGATGATGATGAATATGGAATATTTTGAAGAAATAATGATAATGATGATCACGATGATGAAAACCAAAAATGGCGACAAATGCGTATAATCAATAAATATATATATATATATATATATATATGAAGCTGTGATGATGGTGATAATGAAAGGGAAGAAGAGACTATGATAGTTGTGGAGTTTGTTTGAATTGTTGATTACTCAATTTCATATTGCTGCTAGTTCTCCGTCGTCAAAGTCCCGTTGTCGTGTTAGTGGTTGATCGATGATGATAATGTTGGTGGCATCGGGTTTTCTCATCGTCGTCGCTCTCAATCATCTGTGCGGTCGGTCTGCGGTTATTATTATGATTTGTTGTTTGAGAGACAGAGCGAAACAATGGGATAGCAAAAAAAACAAGAAAAAGAAAAAAAAGGAACTATCGTAAGAAAGAAAAGAAAGTGTGTGTAGTTGTCTTACAGAGTTATAGTAAAAGAACGAGCAAGATGAGCTTCTTTGTGTCACACACTATAATTCATATAAACGAAAGGATAGGCGTCTCTTTTCTTCTTTTTTTACTACCTTCTCAACGAAGAGGAAAAGATCGATGAAGAAAGGAAAAATCGTAGTAGCAATGCGAACTTAGAACGCCATTGATTTTTACGTTAGGTATAGTCATCATGATTTGTTTCGATGCGTTATTATCAAGCGTGAAGAATGAACAGCAAAAAGAATGACAGAAAGAATGGATTCTCTCTCTTTCCATTTTCTTGTCTTAGCTGCCATCACTTTAACTAATTGCCTACTAAGGACCTTGGCTCTTTTTTTTCTTCTATACTCTCTAGCGGAAAAACTAGCCTATTGCGTGACGAAGTATTTTCTACTCTCCCTCCTCCACTTCTCATCATTGTATCACGCAATGAGAGGCTTTGTTCTAATGATCGAACTTTCTCTCTCTTCTCTTAGACTTCTCGTATGTTTTCAGAGAATAGACATTGTCTCTCCAGTAGTCCCGTTCTTTCGCTTTACTTTTTCTCGTCATCGAATTGGCACGGATGGTGACGGAAAACAACAATCACCCATCCAACACAATTACCCCAACAAGATCTATACGTGTACGCTCTCGTTTGTTCTTTTTAAGTGAATTCATTCTTCAACGGAGAATATAACAAACGAAGAAGAAGAAAAAAAACAGTTACGGATACGATGGAATAGATGAATATCAGTGTCATCGACAGAATTAATTTTAATATTCACACAGGAACATTAAATTCAATCATTTTTCTTCTATTTTTATTCATCCGGAAAAAAATACAAAAGAAGTTAATCATCATTAAATATTTTCTTTTCTTAATAATTAATAAAAACTTTCGCGAATGAGTAGATACGAATAGCAAAAGTTGCTCTTATAGCATTTACGTTGATTGATTGTATGACTACTCGCCATATCAATAATGAAGTGATAATACAATTCATGCATACATATATATATATATATATATATATATAGTATTAAAGCCAAGAAAGAAAAATATGTCATCTGGTTCCTGGTATATTTTGCAATAACACTTTTGTTCTATTTTAGTTCTATTCACGCAATAACTAAAATTAAATGCTTATTTATTACTTTTAATAAGTAACCATAAATAAATATAGCAGTCTTTTAATAGTAGACCGCATATATGTCATTATTACAGATCCACTTTGTATTGGTTAATACTCCTTGACATTTTTTTCCATTTATTTTTTTTCACGCTTATGTCATAACCTTTCTTATTTTCTTATATTGTGTAATGATTCTTATAGAGTTTATACATATTCTATTTAAGAATGCAATGGATCAACATACCTGGCAGATGATTATGTCCTTTCACACACAAGCAACAAGAAATAGAATTTTTTTTCTAGCAGTCCTCATCTGTTTATTCATCATGTACAATCAACCTGAAATGTTAAACGATAAAGTAGTTTCTATTCCCATCATGCAGTCGCCTGTTTTCTTTCTTGTCATTGATATAAACAGATAAAAAGAGCCAAAGCTATCAGAGCACCATGTACGTAAGTATATTTCTTCGAACTATCAAATGCAACGGCACACGCATTATATCCGATGGGAATCTATAATATACTTCCTAAATAACATCAACGCTTAGATAAATGTGCATCTTCATGCATATGTTGGCTCAAAAAATAGAAACCACAAACATTTACAAAAGAAAAAAAAATTAAAACAAAACAAACATAGCAAATGTTATTATTTGGATGAATTCAATTGTTGTTGTCTTTTTGCTTGTTGTCGTTTTTCAAACCATAGCATACCATCATTATGATCATCATCTTCATCATCATCGCTTTCAGATTCTAATGATTGTATTTGTTGTGTAATAGGATTACTAACATTAACTGATTGTTGTTCGTGTTCAGATTTTTCTTGTTTTTGAATATTCGAATTACGTAAATCAATATAAATTGTCTTGCGCTAAAAGGAAATCAAAATAACTAGCTTATAAAGAGCTTCAATTCATAGAACTAATCTAAAGATTCAATAATATATTATTATATTCTCATATAAGAGATTTAGGTCTGTTAACGATTTGTATTATTATAAGACCCTGAAAAAATACTAAGATAATTTTAATTCTAATGATAGAATCAACATTTTTCATATTATCAATACGAAATTCTACGATTTAACTTATGATGTTGTTTTAATATATCATGATTTATAATAATCAGTACTAACACTTCTTAGATCCTATCAGAGAGTTCGGCGAATTTATAGAAATGAGAAGCACAAGTTAAATAACATCAAAATATAATGAGAAGATTACAGTATACTAAACGAACTTAGATATGAGTGGATTAGATGAATCGTGTAATCCCATTGGGATCAAGAGCATGCTGCCCTTATCTAGCTAAACCGTTGGATATTTATTATATAAATCTCGACGAGAATATTCAACTTGAAAATTCTTACTTCCGATTCAGCTATTTTTATTCTTCTTCCATGACGATCAAAATGTTCATATGATGTTTCATATAGAGCAGATTCTAAATTTCTAAATGGATTTTGTTCTCGTGTAGATTGTGATCTTTCATGAATATTCAATTTATTTGCTTGTTGAGCTAAGCGTTCAAGAACTTGACGATCATCACGACTTTTTATATTTGTTGCATCTTGAGATGATAAACTCTGATGATTAACTAAAAACTCAAAGTTAGTCATGCATTTTCAATCCATACTTTCTTACTGGGTCGTGGTCGATGATATGTTGGTGTGAGATTTGGATTTTGAGGCGAATGATTTAGATTTGGATTTAAAGATGGTAATTTATCAAAATCAATACTATTAAAAAGATCCATTGATAGAACTGATGGTTTTGACATTGCTTCTTGATTTTGTGATGCATTATCAAATAGATTAGGCGAAGCACGCATTTGTAATTCAACACTTGGTGGTTGTTGTGGTGCTTCAATTTTTGGATGTAATGTTAGAAATGAATTTATATTATTATTTAATAACGATTCAATTAGAGCGTCGGTATTTTCAGGAATATTTGATTCAAAAATCTGTACAAATGTTTTAATCAATTAAATGTAGAGAAAAACAAAATCTTGTTTTTTCATTACTTCTTCGTTGTCATCATTTTGATCATCATTATCAAAATTCACACTTGGCAGTTGTGATTGAATCTCAGAAAAGATTTGTTGAATTCTGGCCGATGTAGTTGGTAGACCTGTCGAGGGTTCTTCGTCTTTTACAGGTGGCATTTTATTTTCTGCGTATTTGATTCGTCGAAGACGCCAGATGCACTTTTAACTAAACAAGGTGAAATATTATATCACATCAGTTTTATACGCCATTCTCAATGCATTAACTATAGTAGTGTCCACAAAACATTGACTGACGCTGTTTATAAATAAATAAATATATTTCTTCAACAATGTCAAAGATTAATTTCGATTAAATAAAAACTTGACATCGAGTGTTTGAATATTCAATCATTATCCACCTGGAGTCGCTAGTTGCCATCTATTGTATCAGACATTATAATACGTTCATGTAGAACCCTTGGACAGAGATAATCAGAGAAACAAGTATTGATTCACACAAGGTACATATAGAATTGTTTTTTCGTATACTGTCAAAGAACTGAATAATAAAATAACGATCGATATCATATTTAAAAAAGTACGAAAATAGTAGTTATTCATAGACTATTATAACACGTATTGCATCATTCATAAATGCACAAGACTAACTATCAATCAAATTTTGAAATAGGAACGAATGAAAAAATATTAAATCGATGAACAAAATTATTGATAGAGATTGATGTATAGATTATACTTGCATCATTTGAACTGAAATATTTTTTGTGAGCAACGCGTAAATCTAGATTATAATATTTTTTTTCTTATGGATTTTTTTTGATGATCTTTTGCTACATGAAAAAACTTTTGGAATGTGTATGTGAGATAAATATACTGGCTGTCATTCTTCCGTACATAATAGATTATGCTTTTCATTTGTAGCTCTATTGATCGTGTAATTGAACAGCTCAAATTTTTAACAGAAAGTCATGTGCGATGTGTTTGAGAGATGTCTGTGTTAGCTTTTAATATTTATTGTGAGCGAAATTACATTTGTTAATAGAAGTAAATAAAAAAGCAATAATTTAGCACGAGATTTATATTTATTTGCTGTAGAAATCAAAATACATATGTAAATATGAAAATCTTTGAGAAATTCTTAATTGAATGAATGACCAGAAAAAGTTCTGAACCATAAATTGAAAAATATCCATCTAATACAACTAGGAATTTATTCCTTTTAACAGTACCATGAAGGCTAACCATTGAAATAACTTCTCGAAGCCTTCTAATATAAGTTGTATACGCAAATATTTTTTTTTGTAGCTTGGTAAGATATATTTAATGCGCATATTTCATTTTTTCTTCTTCTGATTATTCTCTTAAGCGATTGTGCAGCACTTGTAGTATTTCTTATCAATATCAATCTGTACGTTTTTTTTCTTTTGAAGGATGTCATTTTTCTTTATAATATGTTTATCGAATATCTGTGCACCTGAGCTCCGAATGAGATGAAATCGCCCATTAACATTCAGAGCTCTGCTATGCACATACCATAAGTTAGTTTCTCTGTCAATGAGTTTATTTTATTTTCAAAGAAAAAAGATTAGAAGTATGTTGGACTAGCTTCGCGCCCCCCCCCTCCCCATCAAGTACTAATGACAAATAACTGATCGAAGTATCCATGTTTTTTTTTTAACGTCATGAAGCTGTCTATAGAATAGATATCATAGAAGAATTCTAATGAACTTTTTTAGATGCATCTCAGTTGGATTGATTATGGAATGTTGGGTCTACTATTGAGTTAGTAAAAAAGAAAAATATGCTTTTTTTTGTAAAATTTTCATTTATAATTTTATTAAAGGTTTTTCAATGGTTATTGGTATTTATCAAGGATGTTTTCGATCGAAACAATTGACTACCAATGAATTTCTTATTGCTGATGGACGAATGAAGGTAATAAAAGTTGTTCATATTTCTTCCAAAACAGATAATTTACATATTTTTGAAAGATTTTACCGACTGCAATGAGCTTATTAGCGAGTCTGATGTCTGCAGCTACTTTACTTGGAATTCCACTTGAAATTTATTCCTATGGAACAATGTATGTTTATTGGAGTAAGTTGTTTTTTTTTTTATTTAAAGTTCAAACATCGATAATTATATTTTGTAGTTTTTGCCTATTTTATTGGCACCTATTTAACTGTAAATTTATTTATTCCAATGTTTCGACAAATAGGAAATTTAAGCATCTATGCGGTAAGCCATTAGATATAACTTTTCAAAGGAAAATTCTCTATCATTTTAGTATCTCGAACAACGCTTCTCATTAGCAGTTCGTATGGTTATAACAATCTGTTATATCCTAGTAACGGTGAGTAGAGAAAAATGAAAGAAGATAAAATTGAATTACCTAATTTCGTTTAATTCGAAGATTTTTTATATAGCTGTTATTTTATATGGGCCAAGTTTAGCATTAAGTCAAGTCACAGGTCTACATATATGGTTAGCAGTTTTATCATGTGGAATCATATGTACAATCTACACAAGTATTGTATGTAATAGAATATTAAAAAATATATGAATATTGAATGTATTGAATAATCAAGGGTGGAATGAAAGCAGTTATATGGACTGATGTAATACAAACGATACTGATGTTTCTTGGAGTTATACTATCCGTTGGTTTCGGTATGATGAATATTATTTTAGTTTCCTCAAACATAGTTCTCTTGGTTTGATTTTTAAGGATTTTATGATGCTGGTGGTATAAAAAATGTATTTCAACGTGCAATGGAAGGAAATCGAATACAATTATCGACGTATGTGAATTCAAAAAGAGATAAGACGTTAAATTTTGTTTTTGGGAATTTTTAGAATTACATGGGATCCATCAATTCGATATACTGTATGGAGTATTATTATTGGTGGTGGTTTAAATGCTACAGCTGTATATGCATGTTTACAGACACAAGCACAACGTTATTTATGTGTAAAAAGTACACGAGCAGCACAGAAGTATTTCATCTGATTTTTCGAAATACCTATAAATTCATCTATTTATTTTTTATTCATCTTAGAGTTGCTTGGGTGAATTTTATTATGTGTGCATTTATGCTTTTTCTATGTACATCTGTTGGACTTCTTCTCTATACAAAATATAATCAATGTGATCCTCTTCGAGCTAAATTAATTTCTAAACCTGATCAAGTAAGAATCGAATAAACAAATTTATACTTTAATAAAAATTTTCTTATTTTAAGCTCTATCCATTATTTATCATTGAAACATTAGGACGATTTCCAGGTTTAACAGGCTTATTTGTTGCTTCGATTCTAAGTGCTTCATTGAGTACAGTATCTAGTGGAATTAATAGTATAACAACTGTTGTTCTCGAAGATATCTATAAAAGTATATATAAAGAAAACTTGATGTCAGATGAAAAACAAGCGACTGTTTCGAAAATATTATGTATGTATGAAAATTTTCGTAAGAATAAATATTTATTTAAAATTTTTTTCTAGCGGTCTTGATTGGTCTTTTGGTAATATTAATAGCAATTGCTACATCGTTTTTTGGAAATAATATTATAGTGGTAAGGAGTTTATATATTTTATTCATTTCTATGCTATATGATATTAATTAGATAGTTTTTCAAATATCGGGTTCATTTGCAGCACCAATTCTAGGAGTTTTTCTAGTTGGATTTTTTGTTCCACGTGTTAATAGTCGAGTATGATTGAAATAGATTTATTTTATAGAATTTACTGAGTTTAATACGAACTATTTAGAGTATTCTTGTTGCTTTTACATGTTGTTTATTATTTCAAACATGGGTACTTATTGGTGCTACTTTAACTGTGAAACCACAAATAGGAAAAGGTGGACAATTGTCTACGTCTGTTGAAGGTTGTCTATCGTCATTGAATTCTAATCAAACGATTCGAACAAATCAAAGGTAATCTTCTTTCTTATCGAAAAGATTTTAAATTTATTTGATTAATTTTCTAGTTCAAATTTTTTCTTACCACTTTATTCGATATCTGTAATGTGGTATTCTTTTAATGCTGTTGTTATTATCGTTGTTGTTAGTTTATTAGGAACATTTATTTTTGGTTTGTTTTCTTTCTTTTTAATGTAGGATTATGAATGATTCCTAAAATGTCTTGTAGGGTCAAATGATCCAAAAACGATAGATCAATCATTGTTGTTACCATGGAAAAGAATATTTTCGTGTTGTTGTAAACATAAAGTATGATGTATTATTTTTCATGAATTCCTTTTATTTCGTTCTAAATTCTTTAGGAATCTGTGAGCTTAAAAGTTGATGAAATCAATACAATTCCAATTAAAGCAGTCGAGCAAGAACCAATTCTCTTGAATTGATTTTTTTAGATTTTCTTTATATTATTAAATAAATACAAAAACATAAAGTTGATGATTCAAGTGCTCAATCTCTATCTATATAAACTCGGCTAATTTTACAGATTCTTTCGTTTTCGTGAATATTCATTCAAGAGAAGTCATAAACGTGCGAGTGCAGTTGACTATTACGACTCTGCGTACATCCTCAAGTATTATTTATAAAGTTCATTGTGATTTCTTCTTCTAAGGATCATCGATGAGCAATAAAAAACTTATTTATAAAACACAAAACAGCCTTGAGAAGCTTTTTTTTCTTTGTTTATAATTCAAAATGTTTTCGAGTATTTGATATCCTCTCAGTATACGAGTGCCTCTATCTAGATAACACTCCTATTCAACTGGTGAGTGTATTTGTATTTTGATGTCTATGATTTGTCTCACTCATTTCGAATGGTTCAACAAGAATACATGATCCACATCTTATTGTATTTGTTGCCATTTATTTTGCATGTTTCTAGTCCATCTGGTATAATTCTTAATTGTTCTTTTTAAAATGTCAAAAAAAAATTTTCATACCAATATTCTATTGATAAGTGACAAAAGAAGAAATGTAGATTTGAACAATTCCAATTGTATGAATGGCATAGTATCTTGATCAAATGTTTTCATGGTAGTACTCGAATAATAAAAATGGTGATGCATCCACTCGCACGATGCCTCGTTTAATGGCAGTGTCGGATAGATGAGATATATCTTAGTGATCAATCAAAGCACTCTTGAATCAAAGAAATATATATTGCTCTGCTGGGAATCATTCTCTACTGTGGATAAATCGCGTAAATGTTAATCTTTTTTGTTTACGAAGTAATAAATCGAAAAACTGTTTTCAATCATACTTCAAAATATTTATGTATCGTAGAGAAGATAAATTCAAAAAAACAAAATTTTTGCAGTGTTAAAAAAACAGAAAAGTCTATCAAGCACATGTATTCAACAGTTCAAGCCCTTTCCATCGTTGTAGAGTTTTTGTTTCGGAAGAAATCATCTCATCGCAAAGAATCATCGTTGAACGATTTGAAGATTTTTTAATATCTACATGAATGTCTATCGAACTATTATAATGTTTAATTGTATTCGATGGTTGTCTTGATTGTTGATTAAAATCTTGATTTTCAATAAAAACAAGTGAATCACAACTAACATTAAATAAAGAAAGATTTGATTGACTGGTTTCCATCAATAATAAACAACCTTCATCATCATAGATAGGATTTTCTTCATTACTATGAATATTTGTCATAGATGCAAATAATGAATATTGACTTGGAAAATTCTACAAAAACGATCGATTAAAAATACAAATAACCAGCTAGCAAAAAATACCTGTTCAAAATGATTTTCTTTGTGAGACAATTCTACATGAAGAGAGAAAAAAGAATCAAAATCAAATAATCTTTTTCTGTGATTAATTAATCTTACTCTTTTTAAAAAAGTCTGGTAAATATTGTAAAAACAAGTGAGCAATGCGTGATGTGTCCATCATGAAATAGAAACGTTTTCTGCTATCGATCAATCGATCAATCTCGTATTTATTCATTCTTTTTGTTGTTCTCTCTTTCTCTTCGCTCATTCCTTTTTCTCGCCTGATTGCTTAGTCGAACCAATCAATAGTTTAATGCTGAAAGATGATCTATTGTTATGTGCTGTTGGTCATGGCATATTCACAGCAGGATAGCATCTATCATCAACTTTGAATTTTCTCGCGTTTCCGCCTTATCACAAACATATCGAAATAAGCAAATGAAAGAAAGTTCATCTATTACATCTGTTTAAAAATTAGACATGTGAATGAAAAGTGTTGATATTGTCTTATTATTTTAAGAAATTGTTTATTCAGAGGATAAAAATGTTTCTGATCGTTCACTGATTGTCTTTGTTTGATCATTTTCATCTAGTTTATCTTGATACGGACGTAGAATGATAAGTTCATGAATCCACTCTTTTAATGGATTACATGTTATTAAACAAATAACAAATGGTAATGCAATACAACGAATATTGTATACAAATAACATCGTTTGCAAGGCATTAACTTGTGCAGTCGAATTATTGTTGCCATCCTTAGTAATAATAAAATGTAAACATAGTAAAACTAATTCAAACAAAATAACACATGACGAGAGACATAAATAAAATTTTGTGTTCACACTTAAACGCGATGGAGTACGTTGGTGGAAACGAGGTAAACCATATTGATTTAATACAAAACATAATAGAATTAGACTAATTAAACTTAAAATAACATATTCAAACCAATATTGTATTGAATAAAATGATAAAATTTTTGCATAAGTTTCAAAATTTAATGAACGAAAACAAAAGATAAAAGTTGGCTGCATTGATGAACTATTGTTCGTAGTTTTTGGCGAAATAGCATTACTATTCGATACCGATTGATTATTTTTAACAAAATTGATTACTTCATACAATCTTAACAAAAATATAGAGCTAATACCAATCAGTATCAATGATAAGTAAAATCGTTTAAAGCATAACCGATAATTATTCTTGTTTAAGAAAAAACTAAATAAATTGTTTGAAAATAATCTTTCAACACTAAATAATAATGTTAAATAAAGTCCCATTGGCTTAGCAAATGTTGACATAAAAACGGTAAATCGACATAGGTGAATCGGTAAATTTGGTTCGCCTCCATCACTTAAGATGCGTACTTGAGCAAAAATGCAGAACATATTTGATAAACAAACAAGACAAACGATATTAAAATTCGATGTACGTGTTGTACGAAGACATGATGGAGCAAAGATGTATAGTATTGGAAGAATTAGAGAGAATATTATTCCAATTGACCATGTAGAGAGGTAATTATAAAAAAATAATATAGAATCGAGTCGATCGATTGAATTGTAAGCCGTATTATAAGAATCCTATACGACAAAGCAACGTAAAAACAAAAATAAATGGTGAGTTTTTCATTAGAACTTACTGCTGCTCTCAGGTCCATGATGAGTTATATGATTGTAACTTAGAACAAATGTGTTTTGCTTCTTTTTTACATTTTGTTTAAAAAATCAATGAAAAAAAAAGATAAGAACCGTTTGATTATCTTAATTGAAAAAGAAATATGAGATAGCTACATGTTTGAATTCTGTACTATGATACTTAAACTTCATTGTTTAAAAAAACCGTAACTGAAAGGCAATAGTTTTAGAAACCACTACAATTCGTGATATCATAAATGGATTCATCCATAATATGGCATTTTGTTAGTAATTCTATTTTTTTCAATATACGAAATTAAATCCTTAACAATTTATAGTGAATGCGCCATTGATGTGTAATATTTATTGTATTAAACGGTGAAATATTATGAAAGAGTAGACCAAAATACCGCACATGACCGCCAGAGATAAAGTCAATCATAACAATATTGACATCAAATGGTCAGCATGAAATATTATGGCAGAAATTGTCTATACTTGTTTTCTAGGAACTTTAGTTGTTTCGACGCAAAAAAAAGAAGATATCATTCAGATATGACTCACGATTTAAATATTTAAAACACGAGTTAAAGAAATTCGTATGAGGAATTAGTCGATAATGTGTCATTGCTATGGGAACGATGCTTATATCTATCTTTCGTATGCAAGAATCTTTCTTTTCTTCTTTCGTTTAATATTTCATCATCATATCTACGCAGTTATTTGCAACGGAAAATTCCAAGAATAAATACAACGAATGCGAACGAAAAACACACATAAAGGATGTCTTAATAATCGAAAGAATTAGAATAAAAAAAGTCATTTCAATAAGATGCTTTCACATGCAATATCCGTGGCTGATGTTCACCCTGGTGATCATTTGTATCGATGGCGAAATCTAAAATTATTTCAAGGAATAGCTGTTCAACCTAATCATGATAGCTTGGAAATATTTGTTGTCACATTAAATGATTTAAATAATTTTCATGTGGCACCCATAAAGTTGTTTAAAGGCAATGGAATTCTCAGACGAGTACTCTACAATCAAGGTGACAGTTATCTACATTGGATTAAATTACCCGGGACTAGTTATGTTGAAAAACGAAGGCCAACAGAAGAAATTGTTCAAAATGCACTGCTTCTTGTTGATACAAAGAATAGAAATTGTGAGTTAATTGAAAACCTCTTTGGGAAAGGTTTTGATGGTTTTGCTAAGTTATGCTCAACGATTGATCATGATCATTGGCGCCATATTTTGTTAGGCGGTGGTAAGAAAAAGTGAACTTGTCAATGATCTTAAAACTTCAGGCTTCGTTCTTGTTTCGTAGATTACAATTCATCTTCAATTAGTAACTGTAAAAATGTATTTCATGCCATGTCAATTACGCCGATGAACAGGATCGAATCAATTGACGATGAAAACTATTGTGTTATATGCATGGAAAGAAAAAACGACGTTGCATTTCTTTGTGGACATCTCGCATGTTCTCAATGCGCTACAACACTGATTGACTGCCATATTTGTCGAAAAAATATCCGTCAAAAAATAAAACTGTTCTGGTCTTGATGAACAATTTTCTTTTTGCATTACTAGCATTTGTAACTGACGAAAAAGAAAGATAGTATAACATAGTACGATCTATCAATCATATAGGTCTAATTTAAACGAAAATATACGAACAAATGGATAAAACAAGTTCACGTCATGTTTTTCAAAATCTCTTTCATTGTCTATCGTTTCATCAGAATTAATTTATATCTTGAAATTTTGGCAATGGAAAATATTTCTGTTAATCTTTCGAAACAAAACAAGAAGTATTACAAATTTAAAGTTAAAAGGACCCCGCCGGATAAAAAAATTTTCTTGAATCGATTTCATTTTTATACAGTATTGTAGAGCTCGTTGAGATACATCAAATGGTATATAGGAAGTCAAGTTTTCATAACGGTTTTGTGTAGTTACAGTCGATATACTATNACAGGACTGAAAACAGTAAAGTGCATTTTGATGAAAAAATGTCATTCATCGATAGAAGATGACTCTTTTCAGTAGGAAAGCAGTAGTAATGAAAACTATCAAATATGAAAAATTGAGCACCACTCATAACTGTATCGAACTGAATTACAAAACTAAATATGTATATACTCATTAGAGATGATCATAGGAGTGTACATTTTCTATTAGTACCATACAAATCCCTATGCCAGTATAGATAGTATATCGACTGTAACTACACAAAACCGTTATGAAAACTTGACTTCCTATATACCATTTGATGTATCTCAACGAGCTCTACAATACTGTATAAAAATGAAATCGATTCAAGAAAATTTTTTTATCCGGCGGGGTCCTTTGTTTTTGTTCGAAATAATGAATAATTTAGTTGACATGAAAAATGTGTAGCTACTTTTAATGACTATTGCTCTCCAGGGCTAGCTTCCAATTTTGTCCATGAAATTTATAATAATATTCCACATAAGTCACAGCTGTTAAGATGAATCATGGCATTTGCACTGAGAACAAGGAGAAAATCATTCATTTTTCTAATATTAGTACATTCGAGTATAAAATGTTTTTGTAAGGTTTATCGGAGAAGAAATAATGTATATTCTAAAGTAATGAATGATTTTTTTTGTTTCATAATAAAATTACCATTCAAAAATATTTCATCAGAAAAGTCCTATTTGATTAGACTCAACGTGTTCAACTGATGTTGATGATTTTTCATTGTCAATGTTGCTTAACATCAATAGTACATGTGACAAATCCCTTGAAAAACAAATTGAACATCGATGGTTTTTCATTAAATTTTTTCCCTGATGTTTTAAAATTGTACCTAATTTGTTTAAATCAATTTGCGCAAGTGAATAAGAAATTTTTCGGTATAATTTGGCTGACTCTAAAAGATATGGAGAAAGTACATGAACGAGTATATACATCTAGGGAGAAAATGAAACTATCGCAACACCTCATGTAGCCCTTTATATTTCCATTACATTGAATATAAAACGTAGTTCTAAGATTTAATTCCGATCAAGTAGAATAACAATCAGAATAATATTTGTAGCTAACACAATCCATATAAACATTGCACAGCATAAAAAACATTAAATTATAAAATTGATATTGTTCTTTCGTATATAAATTCATCCTAGCAATTTCTTTGTTAGGACATTGTGAAGTGTGAGCTGAAAATATTTTTCCAAAAATTGATTATTCTATTTATATTTAATGGAAGATATCATAGTGAAACTTCTCAAGGTTATATTTTGAATAAATAGGATCCACTAAGATTGATGCAAAATACTCATCTAATTAAGAATCTTAATAGAGATTCATTTACGTATATTAGTAGAAAACGGGCTAATAGATAAGGTCATAGTGTCGATGAGAATATACAAAAGATATAGTTTACAGCCATGGAATGCATATTATTACTTTAGTATTTTTCATTTCAATAGTTAATATACTGATCATAGAAAATATCTTTGCAGCACAGCATCCATTTGTATTCCAATTTCTGTATTATTGCTAAAATCTGAAGTCCAATAGTTAAGAATTTGTTGCTTCTAATGTAAATTATTTTACAACGATATTTTGTCCCCTTGTTCTGGTGTAATACTATCTATGATTTTATGTTTGTTCAAAATAAAAAGAAACCGTGTTTCAAAAATGAATAGGACTTATATCTGATATTGACTTTCAAGAAAGACGAATAGCACTTTACGTATGTACATGTGAACATGTGCCAGTATGCTGTATTTATTTCCCTTACGTGATAATATCGTTTTTGAATTGAATCGAAATATAAATTTATGCATTACGTTAGTATAAATAGTAATGATAATCAATTTCTTTTTTGTTCAATATGAAATCGTGACTCTCGTTTTTTAGTTTTTCTTTTAAAAAAACTATTCTACCATAAGATTTAGTCGAGATAATTTTCAAGATCTAATAAAATCAGTATAATTAAAAGAAAAAGCCTTCAATTAGTAAAAATATTGAAAAATAAACAAGATAGAAATGATTCATTCTTGAGCGGCGTAGCCTTCAGCATATTGTAATAACGATATGTACGCATGTTTCTTGTGAAATGACTTATCACGAGACTTTTCTATTTCTTATTTTTTTCTTAATCAATGCGAAAGTGTCACTTTAATATTATCAACAAAAATACGCAAAACTATAAACTACGTCTATTTAGTCGTGTGATGCAAAACAATATTATGATAAATGTCAACCTGTGACCAATCATCATGCCTATAGTAAAAATTAACTTTTCTATTAGCAAAAGGAGAAAGAATTAATTATTATTATTGTTCTTTTCCAAATAAAGTGAGTCATCCGTCTGACAACCAAATATAATTGTACTATAGAAATATTATTTTACTGACGAATGAATCCGGAGGTATGATAGGAATGTCGAATACATGTTTCCGTGTTGCACACGGTAAGTTTTAAAGCGGATGAAAGAGACTATACTTGACATATTAGCTTACCGTTAATTATGCTTATAATCATGCTGGAAATTAATATTCTTTGACTGAAAAGAAAACCAACAAGTAATGAATTCATGGAAAAATCCTAGCATCAATAATATTGATTCACCATCGATGATTCATTTCAGATGTAAGCGTTCATGGAACAAACAGCCAAATATTCCTAGGTTACTAACTTAAGTTAACTCAACTAGAAAATCGGTCATTAATGAAGTTGAAGCTTTTTATTAATTATAAGAGTCATTCAATTAATGAATTTTATTACAAAAATAGACTTTAGCTTTCTTTTTGACTCACTTGAACTCTTTCCAATTCAATATAAATACTTATATTGCTCTGAAATAATAGCATTAAAGAAATTGCAGTTTTAGATCCAATGAAAAATGATTCAAAAATAAAAATTATATTACTTCAGATATTCTTTTTTTCATCAAATCTCTTAATTCAAAATTCCACTGTTAAACTCTCAAGTATAACTATAGAACAAATCGGATTGAAAATGTTCATATTTATTTTTTGAATACACTAATGTTCTTATGAAATTTGGAAATAGGTCACAATTATTATTCGAGTGCACAATTATGTTAGATCTAATCAATAAAAAGAAAAAGAAAAAATGTATTCAAAAGAATGGTTACTCGACCGAGAAACGACGTGCATTTACGAAAGCAAGGTATACAAAAACATAATTTATTTGTATCCTTTTCTAATTCATACTTCGATAACTTCTTTTGGACAGAAATATTTCAGACGGTATCATTTGTTTTTTTTCTTTCTGTCTGTAAGATTAATTCAAATGAATATTCTTACTTATTAACAGAGTTAAGACATAATAGATATAGAATAGTCTTAGTTATAGATTGGACCTTTTTTTTTAATATTTTGATTGATATTTTCATAGACATATTTTCATCCTCGAGACATCTCTTTATGCCAAGACGACTTATTCGTTTTCTAACTGACACCGAAAATCTTTTTTTCTTTTTTTTTCTGTCATATTCCCACTAAGTAATTTTCTCTAAAATGAAGCAGAAAAAGAGTAAGATAAATAAATGACTAAATAAACAGTATTTCTTGTGACGAAGGCCAAGAATGACTCTGACCCGTGATAGATGACTCATGATTAATGCTTTTTTATGAAAGGGTTCGAAAACATGAGCAGGGTTAATGTACTTCTCTGGTAGAAAGGTTTCGCTGGAAAAACAAACAATGTGTTCCTTTTCTTTTTCTTATAAATAAACTGTGAAAAAAACAGCGTGCTTGAAAAAGTACAAGGTCCATGATTGATAACGTTCGATCAAAGTTTTTTTGTATTGTTGAATAGAGCGTATCGTATAACTGAAACAAAATATTTGTTCAGTTTTTTTTCTCAATGGAATTTTTCAAAAGAATCTCCAATTTTTAATTTCTTTATTTCAACTGCTAATTTGTTATTTTCGCTTGAGGGTTTGTTATTTTCGTTGTGTTTTAAGTACTTTTTTTTCGATCACGATAGGAGAATAACGGGAAAAGTGTACTTTGACTCTTTTTTTTCGCTTTAGCCGAGTTATTTTAGTAAACTAGGAAGAAAAATATTTACCCAGTTGCATAAACTGAAAACATAAAAAAATGGACAAGTGCATGAGGCATTAACAGCTGTTGTGCTGCAATCGAAAAGTTCGAAACTTTTGGACTATAAAGAAAATATTCATCTTAGTGAACTATGACTTTTTTTCCAACGATGACAAAAATATTTACAAAAAAATATTATAGCCCGAAAGGTTTAGTCAACCATATCTTATCTAGTAATTAATCAGACATAGAAAAATAGAATTTTTTGTATTTTTTTCTATACATGATTTTTTTAGTATTTACATATAAACTAAGGAAGTAATTGCGTAAACATAATAACCTACGAACGATCGTCTTTTCTACGTTACTAAAGGTTGGTAGGTTACTCATAGCCTACGAATGTTATTACTCAATTTAGTATACTCTCGTATTATCGTACCTTTTAAAGTAGTATATATAGTTTTGTTATCTTACTGTCTTCTGTTGTAGATTAAAAAACAAAATGCCTAGTAAACCTCGAAATTTTTGTAAACGTTTTTTACAAATCTTATCAAAATATTTGTGGCATATGGATCAAGCAGCAGTGCCAATATATGCTTCTAACAACCAAGATACGCAAACATTATCATCGCCGAAAAACTCAAGTAGAAAGTCTTCGACAAAATCTCCTCATAAAATCTCACCAATGAACGGACATTTTACACATCTTAATCAACTTGCAGCACGTCAAGGAACATATTCACCACCCCTACAACATTTAGCAGTCATTGAAGAAGAATAAGAAGATGCACAACAACAAAACAATTGTACTTGCATGTTAATATTTATATATAGATGTATATGTGTCTGTAAAGCAGCTGAATGCACAAACGTTCTACGAAAAAAAAATTCTTTTTTTTCTAGTCAAGAATAAACTCTTTTCTTCATTTAGCTTACTATTAATGCCTATGTAGTTTTATGTGTTTTGAAATAAATAGAACTTCTTTAAAATTAAAAAAAGTTGTAATTTTCTGTTTTAATTATTTTCAATTTTATTAATAAAAAAGAAAAGTTTTCATTCAACATAATAATAATTTATCAATGTAATATTATTCTTAAGAAATAATATTTTCTAACGGCGGCGTTATATTGACTTAATTTTATTTGATGTAAGTTAATACCATTTTTTTTTGGGTAAATAGACAAATGATCCCCAAAAAAATGACTATTGATCACCAAAATGTGTTAGTTGCGAAATGATCACCAAAAAAATGTACAAATGATCCCCAATCTATTTTATTGTGAAATGATCACAAAAAATATATATTCGATCACCGAATTTATTATCAATACAATAAGAGATAGAATAATAAATAACAACTATAGTTACACAAAATACAATAAACAATGGAAGCAGAAAGTATGTTCTACCAAAATCATGGTAACCATGCTGTTCGAACTTTTTTTGTACTTCACATTTTTAGTTTTCTGCATTGTTATGATAGAACATTTTGTGTAACTATTCTCAGTTAATGAGATCATTTTGATCGAATTATGATTATTGTTTAACTATGTCTTATCAATCTGTTGTCTTTTGAGATAAACACGTTATCTACCACAACTCTACCATTCATTCCACAAAAAGCAAATTGGTGATCAAATATATCTTTTTTTGTGATCATTTCACAATAAAATAGATTGGGGATCATTCGTATCTATTTTTGGTGATCAATAGTCATTTTTTTGGGGATCAAAAGTCTATTTACCCTATAAATATAGTGAATTTGATAAATGGGCTCTAATATTTCATATTGATATTAGAGTAAAACTACTTGTATGTAACAGCGAAGAAAAATGTATATTATAACATGATACCATCATCATTATCGAGTAAGGAGAGCTCGTCTTTATATATTTTTTTTTAAATATGTTGGTAGTAATGAGCAAATGACATGTGTGTGCATCACAGTACATACCATACATATGAATGTACATGTTAGTTGTAACACTTTATACGTATGTATGCAATGGTATCACGCAAGTTCAGTCATATTCATTTAGAGAAAAAAAATGACAAGTGTGACAGATGTCAAGAGACCTGTAGCACTTCATCTTCGAACAAGAGAAAGACAATTAGAAATAACAAGGAAATTTATTCAGGGATATATGTTAGTTCTTTCAAGATGATTGCATCTGTTTACCTTTGTAAGTGATAAAGTATCAGCGGGTAGTATCTTCTTCTGGCTCTTTTTTTTTCAAACAAATTAAGATTGATTAGCTGTTTTAACAAGTAAAACTTAGAATAGTTCATTTCGTATAATTACCTTGTAAGGTCAGTATCAGTTGAGAAATGTTTGCTGTACATCATACGAGTCGAACTTTTTTTTAATATTCTGTCAACTATAATTTTCAAGAAAGATTCTATTATTCAACCATGCAATATAGAAAATAGAACTATCATTCTCCCAATAGATCCTATTGCAAGCAAACTTGTCATTATATGAATCGAAAAATATACGAAGATAGTTTCAGATTCCAGTGACATCTACTAAATATTTATAATTATTTTTTTTCATTCAATCTTCTAATCATTTTTAAAGTAAAAATATAATTTTTCATCAATCAAACTTAAAAACAACACTGAAAATATAAATAATTAGTTGAAATCATCAGCCGATAAAAATTTGATGAAAGATCAAGTTAAATTGTCTTTGTTCATTCCGAAAAAAATGTTTCTACGCATCTCTTTAGATCACTTCTCATGTCAGCTAAAAATCGTGACTACGATCCGATGTCTGAAGATGGCTACGATAGTAAAATCCCATTGCATAATGATGAAGCATTTCAACATGGAATACTATACGATGCAAAAGTACAACTAAATTTAAAAATCTTACGAAATATCCGTTTGTTTCATTTGCTTTTAGTTCATCGGCTCAGTTGAAGTACCTAAACCGGCAAGTAGAGTTGAAATTGTTACTGCTATGCGTCGTATTCGTGTAAGATAAAACTAGATATTAATTGAAATTAAATGTAATATGCTTCTTTTGAATATTTAGTATGAATTCAAAGCAAAAGCCGTAACAAAACGTAAAGTGAATTTATTAATATCTGTCAATGGGATAAAAGTTTGTCTATCAAAAAAGAAGACGGTAAGAGTAAAAAAGCTTCTTGATGCTAGACAACTTTGTTCAAGTAAGTTTTCTTTTCTTTTAGAAAGATTCACATTTTGATGAAAATAAACTTTTCATTATGGAACATCCAATTTATCGGTATTAGTGAATGATACAAAGACACACGAGCGTATATTTCATTGTATTTTATATTTTTAGAGTATTTTATGTATCACATGATAGTCAAGATTTGAAAATTTTCAGTTTTATTGCACGTGATAATGTCAATAATTCATTTCGTTGCAATGTCTTCAAAGCTTACAAAAAGGTAAATCAATTGAAAATAAATTAATCTCTTATACGAGAGACAGAAAAATAATTTTTATCTCGTCCTTGTGGATGTACTCGATTTATCTTCGTTGTCTTAAAACAAGATTATTTAATGAGAAGGAAAAATCCTAGAATTCTATTAATAATCATTATTTTGTCTCGAGACGTCTGTTCATCAACTGAAATGATGATGTATTATATGTAAGAGAAATATATGAATCTAAAATTTAAGTCTATTCAGATAATTTAAACTATTCTGATAGAATTTTGTTTTTGAAATATTTTGATCATTTTCATGTTACTTATTTTCCTACAAATTTCGTATTCTTCTAATGAAATATCAAACGAAGGAATCGATCAACATACATGTCAATACCAAAGTACGGATCTCTTGGGTTCTATATATTGTATTCCTTAGATTGAAGCATATATAGCGAGACAACCAATGATTAATTACATAGAGATTTATCTCACATGGAAAATGGTCAATCATTCTATAATGGTGCTATCATCAAATAGAATTTATTTTCCAGTTATTAAAAAATTGTTTAATCCGTAATTTTTTTTTCTCAATCTCAAGGATGATCGATATGTATATGCATAGATTCTTTTTCTTCTGTTCGATTCATAAATGAAACACGTAGGAACTTGATATGATCAATCAATTTGTGACTACACTGACGGTGAAATTAAGAACCATGATATTATTTATATCTGATTGTGCATTCAGCAAGAAGGACGTTAAAAGTTAAATGCATCGAAACATAGTTTCATGTTATTTTAAACTAATAGATTAGATTGGGAAAAAAAGTATTTCAATCTTTATGCATAGAATGTTTCTTTTTTTTCATCAATACTAAAAACAAAAAAAGAAACAGGTACGATCTCATGTTGAGTATAATTGTGCGGAAACATTCACATTCAATAATTACTAAAGAAAACAATCACATTCTTTCATTCATAGAATGAAGCGATGCGTATTGTACGTACAATTGGCCAAGCATTCGAAGTTTGCCATAAATTAGCATTACAACAACGACAACAAACACCATCATCTCAAATAATGGAATCAAATGATATTAACGATACTAAAAAAGTTTCAAGTCCAACTAAAATTGATTCTAATTCATCGGAAAATGATTTATCAAGTATAATTCTTTTTCTTCTCAGTATTTTGAATTTATATTTCTATTTGCTAAGGCAAACAAGTCAATCGTGAAACGCTTGCACCTAACATGGATCCTATTGAAAAAGCTGAACGTTATGTACAAAGTGTTCAAACACCCACGGTAAATTGTTTCGCAGAAATTTTATTTTTTATGTTTTTCGTTGTGTATTAAGTTTCCACCAGCTGGTGATAGCAAATCAGTAAATCTATTTCAATCTCATTCATCAAGTGAATTTACACTTAAACATCAAATGCAATTTATGCAAGAACAAATACAACAAATGCAAAACGAATCTGAATTAGCATTTAATCAAATTAAATTAATCAAAGACCAATTAAATATCGAAATAATGGCTCGTATTGATGCACAGGTTTGTTAAGAAATAGATCCTTGATATATACAAAAAAAATTGTCAAAATTTTCTTTTTTTAGAACAAAAATACTCAATTACTTCAACGAAATCGAGAATTATTAACGCATATTCAACAATTATTGCTCTATACAAATGAACTTGAAATGAAATTAATGAATAATAATATTGATCCAATAAAAATTTCACCATCACGTCCAACTGATTTATTACTTTTCCCATCATTTTTTTCAGCATTAACATCATCAAGTCCATCGAATCAGCAATGTTTGTCAAGTGATTCACCTGACTCTGGCAAAGGAAAAGAAATATCATCAGAAAGTATATCTGATCCATTTTTACCACACTTTCACGATCAACAATTAAATAATTCAACGAAAACATTTTCAATAACTGATGATTTAACAACGCAATCTCTATCAGCTAACGATACTTCAAATTGTCAACAACATATATCTGCGTATTGTTCAACATCTTCATCACTAACTTCATCATCTCGTTCTTCATCAGCTTCAATTAAAATTTCAAAGAAAAAAAAATCTCAAGATTCATCGAACATTGATCCATATCTTTATCATAATAAAAAACCGACTAGTTCGTCATCTTTCACAAATTCGGCTTTTACTCAAAGTCCACTTCGAACAGTAACAACAGAATTTGATCCATTGATGAAATAAATTCATAGAGAGAGTCTTTCACTATTCAGTTTTTATTCTATTTTCAGTGTTTTCTCCTCGGTGTGCATGTGCTTATTCGCACACTTCCTATTCTTTATCTAAGAGAACTTGCACATTTATACGTATATATTTTTCTCATGTATTATATCTATTAATATTTCTCTGTTTCTATCTCTCTCTCTCTCTTTTAATTAAAACATTTGTCAGATATGTTTTTCTTTTTGTTTGTTTTGACTTCATGATTTTTAGCAATAAAATTAAAATGTTTAGATTTACTAGTTGTTTTTCTAATTAGAAACGCAAGATTTTAGATTTTGAATAAGAAAAAAGAAAAAAACAGAATTTTCAATTCTGAGTGAGAATGAAATTAAGTGAGATATAGTAACATAGTTTTAAATTGTCCCAACGGCAATAATAAATCTAGATCAAACTAACTTAGTTACAGAGAGTCATAACTACGAGCTCATATTTAAACTTATTAGTCGATTGATAAGAGCTATTATAGCCTAATGATTTCTTTTATCTGGCTATTTTGATAATATTTATAAAGAAAACTTCAAGGATAATGTTATAGACATTTAAGACTTCCATTGAGTTTTCTATTTATTAAAAAAAAAGCAAAATCTGTCTCAAGATCTTATTTAAAGTTTTCTACTTGGTTAAAAAGAAAGTAAAAGACAAAGATCAGAAAGGTCTACATCGAAATAACTAACTTCGAGTTTTTTGTAACTGAGTTTGAATTTGAATAGACAATGAATGTGAAAAGTACTATAAATTAATTGTGGTGTCGATAGAGATACTTTGAGGAAAACATTTTTTTTTACTACAAGTAATTTCTAACTAAAAACTGTAAAATATATCGTGATTTATAATTTATACATTCTTTTTTAAATTTTAGATATATTAAAATATGGCATCTGATGATGAAGAAATGGAAATAAGTAAAGACAATATGGAAGATGATAGTGATGATAATGATACCGATGACGATAGTACATCAGAAGATTCAGCTGACGAACAAATCGATGATAGTAAACAAGAAGCTGAATTAGTTGTACTTCGTGATGCAGTTAAATCTAGTCCGTATAATTATCAAGCACATATTGATTATATTAATTTAGCTCGTCAATATACTAATCTTGAACATTTACGTTTTGCTCGTCAAACAATGTCCGAATTATTTCCATTAACTGAAAAACTTTGGCTTGATTGGATTCACGATGAAACTCTATTGTTAGTATCGAATTCAGAAGAAAAAAAAGAATTCGTTCAACTGTTTGAACGTGCTATTAATGATTATTTATCCGTTATGATATGGATTGAGTATGTTCAATATCGTATACCATATTATATATCATTGAATTCTATGGAGGAACTTCGAAATTTATTTGAACGTGGACTTAGTTCATGTGCTCTTCATTTAACTGACGGTAGTCTTTTATGGGCAGCTTATATTGAAACTGAAAAAGCTATATTAGAAGGAATATTATTAAATTATCAGACAAACGCAAATAATGATTTAAAAGAAAAAATTGCTCAACATGTCGACTATATTTTAACATTATATCGTCGACAATTATCAATCCCATTACGTGGAATGGATACAGTTTATTATACAGATTATAATGAATTTTGTCAACAATATAAAGAATATTTACCAACAAATTACAATGAAAAATATGATTTAACATTAAAAGATGATTTAGATCGTGCTATTCAACGATTAAAAGAATGTGAAAAATTTGAACAAGAATTAGAAGATACAAAAAGAAGTGTACCAACCTATAGAAAATATATTGAATCTGAAAAAGAACCTACACGCATTCAATGTTTATATGAACGAGCTATTGGTATGAATTTAGAATTAAAATAAAAAGGCTTCAAGTCTTCTTTCGAAACAAAAGTTTTATCTAAGTCGAATTTGAGCAAAATACTCAATTCGAAGAAAACTTTTGTTTTTATCTGATTTAATTTTGGATGTCTATTGATGAGATTTGGAAAATATTGGAAATTTCAATAAGCATTAGTTTTGTGAATTTTGATTAATTTGAAATATTACTAATAATTCATTATTTTTACATGAGCTCATGTTACAAGAAGATTCATTTAATCTTTATGAATTAAAACTAAATATTTCAATGAACTATTTACATTAATTTTTCTCTTTCAGAGATACAAACTAAAACTTTGGAAAGACTTCCACAATATTTTCGACAGTATATAACACATAGTTCAGAATACTAAGACTATAAATTTTGCCAGGTTCAATCTACATACTATTTTGATTATACGACGTCATGAAATATTTTCATGAAAAAGTTCACTAATCATCTCTTGAATAAGAACGTATTTCATTATTTTTATTTTAGTTGACAATTGTCTTGATGGTGATTTATGGCTTTCTTATCTTGATTTTGCTGAAGAATATTTAACATCTACGAATATTCTACAATCTATATTTCAACGTGCTGTACGAAATTGTCCATGGGTAGCAACACTATGGATTCGTTATGCTGAATACATGGAATTCAATAAAACCATTGATCATTCTGAATTGAAAAAAATCTATGATCGTGCGCTTAATTCAGATCCAACAAATTTTGTTTCATTTGTTGATTTACAATTAGCTTATATTCAATATCGTCGACGTCATTATGATCAGGAATTATTATCAAATAATAATGAGCAATGTGAATTATTAAAAGAAGAAATTCGTCATATATGTGAATATGCATGTGATCAATATCAAGAATTATTTTCATTATCAAAAGATCCAAATCTATTTTTAAAATATAATGGCAAAATAGAATTATATTGGATTCATTTGGAAACAAAATCATTTAATTCAATTGATCATGCAAGACAGATATGGAATGGTCGAATATTAATGAATAATTCACATAATGAAATGATATCAAATTTATGGAGAATCTATTATTACATGGAAATTCAGTATGGAGATGAAAAACGTGCCAGAAAGGTATTATATCGTGCATTAAATCATGTACAAACCATGGATTATCCATTAATCATTTGTGATATATTATTGGAACATGAAAAGAAATATGGAACTATACAACAATTAAAAGAAACTAACGACAAATTAAAACAGATTAAAAGTAAAATTATTCCCATTGAAAAACCTAAACGACAACAACAACAAAAACCACCAAATAAAAATAATAAAAAACAAATCGATAAAGACAAGCAAAAAGAAATTAAACAAAAACCAGCAAAGATCTCCGAGAATAAAATGGATACAAGTAAGAATAACGAAACATTGCGCAGAAATTCAGATATCTTAATTACATCATATAATGTGTTTTGAAAAAATTAAAATTATTTTCATAACGAGAAATTTTTAAACCGTTTCTGTAAAACTAAAATAAACAGTCTGGTATCTTTTGTTTTCTTCATAATACAATTGGTTAGAACAGTAGAAACAATAGACAAATATTGAGATATGAACATTAAATTTAACGGATACACATGAGTCAGCAATACGTAAATAAAACTGGATCAATGTCTACCAATTTATTTGATTACAATCAAATACTTGTCTAATATATATTATGTATAATTAAGCAATGATAATTTCGAAGAGATCTTTCTTAAGTTAAACTATATCGATATCATTTATCTATATCTCTGACGTTTAATGAAATATAAATATATGATTCTGAAAAACAAGCTTAGAAATATTCAATGACTTTTTTCTTTCAAAATTTATTTTGAAATTGTGCCTCTGGATAAATTAAATGTCATCGTATTAGTTCAATTTTATTTCTCAGAATAACAAATCTATAATTACCTTTGCTTTAGCTGCACCATCACTTCAAGCTAATGGTAATACTACTCAACAGCAACAACATCTATCGCCTCGCAAACGAAAATTATCACCTGAAGAAACGCAAAGTGTTAAAAAGAAACCTCAAGCTTCAACAATCGATAGTGAAGGCTTTAAGATACCACCTCCACCTCCACCTCCACTTCCACCAACTCTACAACATTCAAGTTCAATTTTATCTTCAGTGGGTAGATCTGAAAGTGATAGTGACCATTTAAATACTGTATTTGTCGCTAATTTACCCTTTGAAGTGGAAGACGATGCAATACGCAAAGCACTCTCGTCAGCTGGTGAAATAAAAGAAATCCGTATTGTTAAACATGAATGGTCTGGTAAGTCAAAAGGTTTCGGTTATGTCGATTTTGTTACAAGTGAAGGTGCTCGTCAAGCATTGAAATTAGATCATACAAAAATAAATGATCGACCAATGTATGTTAGTGTTTATGATCCAAATAGAGCCATATCCAATGATCTAACAAAAAAATTAAAATATGCTACAAGTTTAGAACAAAACAAATTATTCGTATCGAATTTAGCATTTTCAACAACGAAAGAACAAATTGAAAGTTTATTTGCAGAGAATGGATTTAAAGCGAGAGATGCTCGATTAGTTACGCACAAAAGTGGAAAATCCAAAGGACTTGCTTATATCGAATTTGATGATGCAAAAGAAGCTTCAAATGCTGTACTTAAAGTTGATGGAGCAGAAATCGATGGACACAGAATCAGCGTTGCAATTAGCAATCCACCAAAGCGTAAAGAGCAAATTACATCAGCAGCCCCAAGAGCAGCGTCATTAGGTGAAGCACCAAAATCATCAGGACCAAGAGGTAGAGGTCATTCTCAAATCTCATTAGTACCAAGAAAAGTTACAAGAACAAGCAACACGCCGGATAATCCAACAACATCAACGACTACAAGTACAATGAGTAATGATGACTTTAGAAAAATGCTTTTGAATAACAAATAACGTTTTTTCTGGTTCTTTTCGATTATTTGTATTATTTAAAAAACTAAAAAAAAAAGAATTCTCGTTCGTTGTAATCATGTGACTACATTATTAGTTGATTTTAAATCAGTTTTAAAAATAGACGTTTCTTCAATATTCGTACTTGTAACATACAACGTAATGCATGAGAGTATAGCATAACAACAGAAATCATATCAAGTCGATTAGTTTCTTTTTTAATCCGAAAACAACATTGAATTTTGAATGAGCTAAACAATGGAGTCAGGTGGATTGCCTATTAGAATAACGATTATTTTCAACCCAATAGTAGCTCAAAATACAACAGATCCTTTCTTCATCTGAACATAACCGATTTAGTAATTTGAGTAAGTATCGTAAATAGTCATGTACTTTAATAGAGAATGATGAATAAAATAGTCTGTGAGATATCAAACCGAACTATTGATGTCAAAAATAAATTCTCTAGCTTTTTTTTCTATCTATCACACTCTATGTAATCTAGGAAATGCATAAAAAGTAGTTAATGTATGAAGAAAATTTCAACAATTGAAAGCTTATCAGGGATTTGTACAGGTACAGGTACGTGGATGTTCAGTTAAGTGACTGTTAATTCTGTAGAGTTAAAGAATATTGGTTATAATGTTCAATAAATCAGTGAAAACAATCCTACGAAAAGGCAATATTTTTATAGTTTAAATGAATCAATTTTGAAAAAGACTATTCATTGTTTTTGCTAGTTATAAAGCAAGAATAATATGTTTAAAAATATAATTAATGAATAATAATTTAGTAATTCGTAACATGTTTTTCTTTATTGAGTATTCCAATAAAAATACACAATCAGAATTAACATATAAAATAATAACATAGCATCAAATAGTGAGTTGACATTGAGTCCACGATTGAGCGTAACAAACAAATTTATTATTATGTCATCACGAATTCAAGTATTTTACAGTGGAACTATATTTTGAGAATCTCAGTTCATCGGATGTTACTATATCAACAAAAAATAACTTATTGCATTCAGCGATACTGATGATTTAATATATTTTATTTTATTCATTCCTCCGTTATCGAACTGCTGAAGAACTAACTCGTTAAATTCTACCAATAACGATATAATGACTTCTTCAGAATGGAAAATTGAATTTAAACATTGGTGAACGACACAAGTGCTTTCAGAACATGCAATGCCTTCGAATCGAAAATTGCTTTAACAATCCAAGAACTGATCAGTTTCTATCACCAGTAACAACAAAATCATCACTACGCGTTTTAATAATTCCCTTCACTGAAAATGACACAAAATTCTTACAAGAGATTTTTCGAACATAATTACTTTGATGTCTAGACAGTCTCTCGATTGCAAGAACTTCATGATAAAAATGAAAAATAGCTAAGTATCATTCGAATTGATTTCAAATCAGACAATTTTGCTACGAAAGTTTTCCATGATGCGTATGCTCTTATCAGTGGTAAATGATATTCTGCATGGTTATATGCAGCAATAATATGTCGTGAATGTCAAACTGAAGGATATCACACATCTACATGTCCTAAAAAGAACTTTGTATGTACGATATCTCATGAAGACATTAAAAACCAAAGAACGCAAGCTCTACGAATAATATTACATCATTAATCTCACTTTTCATACTGTGTAGACAATTCAAAAAAATTGATCAACCACCTTGAAAATAAATTTGATTCACGTTTATTTGCATTGAAAAATCATTCGTTCAATGCCAGTGTTGATCAGTCAACGCTGATTTTAAAAGATTTTAAAATAGTTGCTAATCACTTTCATGAACAAAATATTCAAATTTATCTAACAATGACTTGATACGGTTGTTAATCGAACACAGTATTTACAAATAAAACATCAAGAGATGGTAAATGATTAGAAAGCTATAGTATGTTAAGAGAAAAGGCACAATATCACCATGAATTATATGATTAAACAGCTTTTTCTAGTCGAAATATATTTCACTTGTGTGGAGTTTTTTGAATTTATCTGTCATATAATAAGAAATATCAGAATATTTTTCGCGAAAAACTGTAGATATTTGTAACGAGATATTCAATTAAAATAACGTAGAAATGTAACTCATTAAACCATATCTACAAATGAATAGCTCAGGTTTCGTATAAGAATTGTCATTACCATTGAACAGTCCAAAATCAAAAGAACAAAGAGTAGAAGCTTGTATCTAATGATATCAGAAAAATATTTTACAATTCCATGTGCATCATCATTTTTTCAATTATTTATATCAATGACGTTCTGTTTTAATTTTAGACAATGATGTTTTCCTAAGAATCATCTACCATAAAAACAAAAACATCGAATTCATACACTAATTAAATAGTAGCCAATAATTTATTTCTTAAACCGCTACACAACGCTAATTAGATCAAATTAAACGATATTCATAGATAGTGTAAAGCATTCAACGGATTAATATTAAATAATTCTCAAATAAAACTCCTTTTTTTTATCAAACTTTATAAATTAATTTTAGTAAAAGTAATGATAATTTGTCGGTGCTTTTGGTTGTTGTTTTTTCATGCAGTCAAACTGTAATAATAAAAATTGTTAGCATAGAAAACTTCTCTTTTGGCACATCATCATTTTCTAGCAACGAATTCAAGAAAATATCATTCTACTAAAAAATAGTTTACACTTTTGAAATTTGCGACGCGAGAATCCTGATAAAATAGATCATTTACGTTCATCTCTTATCATGAAAATTAAATAGACTGATAGCCAAGGCTATAATTAGGAAGAAGGTCTGTAGAATATTATGCTCTCTTTGCTTTTTAAATTAACTACGAATCATACCTATATTGAGCAGTTCGCTATGTTGAAAACTATCTACGCCTTGTGCTCTGTCTTCAGAGGTGATGACCTGTGGTTCTATTTACAAAGATGTCTGGCAACACACAGTAAGAAACATACTGAAGCTATATTTAATTGAGAGCATATTTTTCAATTGTAATAATAATAAATGTACATGGAAAACACTTCTTGACTTACTCTTTCATACAGAATTAGGCAAAAAAATCATGGCAACAATTTAGCAAAGTCAATGTCATTTCAATTTGATGGTTTCTACTTAAAAAAATGAATTCATGGTCGAAGATATCACAAATGTCGTATTTCAAGGTTTCAAAATAGTATTCAGTCACCTTTTGGTGGATTTTACGTGAAAACTATTCGTTTGTAACAACGTTCTCATCTAATATTCAACTATAGAAAAGAAAATAAGATAAAAATCGTGTCGAATTTGGTTGTTACTTACAATTCATATCGTAGATATCATCTACAACGATAATGGATAACATCAATCATCCGCGATTAGTTACAACTAATAGAACTGAAAGAAGATGAACTAGACAAATGCACATAAAAATATATCTAATAGCTAAATTTCATAATTAATCGCTGTACTTAGCATCAGTAAATCATCTGGCATTTACACAGTGCCAAATAAGTAGTTTAAGTATTTATTTTTGGAATGAAAATATGTAGTTTCGATGAAATCTAATATCCAGTCAAAATTTTTGAACATATGTTGTTCTTGACGGTTTATAAGAACATTTTTTTAAATTTATGAATTATATTTTTTTTGGATTGCACAAATAGTTTTTCAATAGTTAAAACTATATTCTTATTTCATTGTACACTTATTATCAACATATTTTATGTAGCTATCTCATTCTTTTATAAAATATAAAATACATTTGAGATTATAAATGAGTGATGAATTGACTCACCGATGTGAATCGAACTAAAACGTAAACTTGAAAAAGTGACGATAAGACTAGGACACTTATAGTTCAAGTGGATCTAGGTCATTGCCACTACTTACAAGTCATTTGTCTTTTTAGTATGCTTACTATTCTACCCAACAATTCATCATATCGAAAGTACAAAAGAATACTCTTATTGTCATAGCCGAAGGAGAATGCCGAGATATGAATCTTTGATGGTAACTATAGTAGACAATTTTGATTGTATGACAGAATTACTTTGATAATTGTTGCAACTGAAACTACTCTATAGTAAGTACCTAAGTTGCAATCAATCAATGCTATTCTTAACTTTTAATTTTATTGATGACGACTAAAATGTTAACATGTTTTTTTGAATCAATGCAGTTATCGTGCATAACGATCATCTTGACCTCTTTACGCATAAATATAACTCTATCTAAAAAATTATCGCGTCAACTTGTTGATGAACACTTGAAAAATTTCATACTAAAATGAACTAGAGAATATACTTCTTAATGAAGAATCTATACGTAGAATAGGCATAAAATTAGATACTATGTGTTAGAATTTTAATTCATTTTACGGTATAAATGATTTGAATGCTCATAGAATTTCTTTTATTGATAAGTTTTAGATAGTCAACTTTGAACCATCATTGAACGCGCGTGTGTTTTTTGTCTCGGCTACTGTAAAATGTTATCACCTTGATCATGCTTAAATGAATGGAAAAATTCTTCTGCTCGGTTCATTTCACCGACTGTGATGATCCTGTAAATGAACCAAGGTCTGCTACTTCAACAATTATGATTAAAAAGGATACTTTATCAAGCAGAACAATAATTCTGCCGTACTTAATTTTTGTTTCGTTTTATCTAGAAAAACAATCACTTTTAGAACTTCTATTGACTTTATGTATAGCAAAAGAAAACAACTTATTTTGTAGAGTTAACCTTCAGATATATGTATAGAGTGATTCTTTTGTCAAAACATATACACTTGCATTTTTTTCCTATTTTCCGACTAGAAGAAAAATAAATTATTGCTTGTTCTACATGATTATTGTGTTGATATAATTAGGAACCCAAGGGTGATTATCAAATGTAGTCGTTGGTGGTTATCTTTACTGATGCTATCTCTATGAGTGCCACCAAAAGAATATATTATATATGTGACGACATGAAACCCATAGCTATAATAGCAATCCTTTTGTCCTTGGTTGC